GTCGCGAACTAGTATTCTGGGTGAACGGACGCAGACGCGTCCTCGTAGCGCGTCGAAACCGACGGGGCTATGATGTATCATAGCGGCTTCAACGCCGCACCCTTGTACTATAGGGCCCATGTGTGTGCAGCACATGGAACCCATGTAAATACTGTGCCACCGTCACTCCAAGTTGTGACCCTTACTCCATTGTATTATTATTTGGAGACCCGGCACGGGTCTAGGGAGGGAGAGTGTAAGAACCCGACGGTTCTTACTTACTACCGGCACTCCCTAGTGCATGGACGGGAACGTCCACTTCAGTAGGAGAAGGTGTTCTCCGGGAATCGCGGAGAACTAGCGCATCTAGGCGCCCGTAGATTAGATACTGCCATTCATGTATCGTACGTAAGCGTACGGCGCCCGAAGGTTCGGGCCTCGGGCGCCTGGTGGGGGCAGAGTTCTACCACCCCCCACCATCCAGCGAGTACGCCGAGCAATCAAGCCCGGTCCAGAGTACTTGCGGGATTCGGGGAGTCGTGGGACTCGCGTATACTTACAATCATCCTGTCCTGACCGGGAGATCTGCGTTCTGTTCCCCCACGAACATCGAGGCGGCTTCATGTCCAGCAGGAATCCCCGCTCGCAGTAAGTAACTTTATCTATAATCCGGCGGACGATGCCAATTCAGGTACTTGCAGGCCGCTATTCGATTCGGATCCCAGCCACCTCGCGGTGGACATACGGTATCAGGTCATATTGACGTCGATGGCATGTGCGTACTACCAGGCTTTGCTTTTGTGGCAATGATCATGTCTGAAGATTTGCAGGTATCCTGTATTACGATTACTTCCTCACCCTCAAGAACGAGATTGCTCTCGTGTGGCATTCTCCCCGCAGCTTATCCAAGATATTCTTTTTAGTGATTCGATATGGGTTTCTGCTCGACACCACACTCGTCCTCTTTTACACCCTACGAATTACTTCTGACTCCGGCCCTACGTTGACGGCCAGTAGGTATGTGGCACAGAGCTTCTACAGCGTAACACAGATGCTGAACCAAGATCCAAGTTGTAAAGCTCTGTACGATGCCGCAACAATCATCCAGGTTTCAAGCTTCGTTGCTGTCTCTGGCAAGTATTTGCGGTAAGTCTTCGTATGGTCATTCTTACAACGATATTTCAGCATTTGTCGCCCTCCGTATATCCTCTCTGTGGTCGCACAACTGGCCTCTGGGTCTCTCCCTATTTGCAATAGGCTTATTTACGCCGTCCATCACGATACCGGCAAGTCGTCTCTCCTTGATATTCATTTTCAGGTTCCTGATGCTACACGAATAGATACTGGGCTTCGAACTCGACATGGTTCCTGCACTGTGGCCCATGTCGCCTTGCGTCCAGACTGTCATTGATGTGAAACAAGATCCACTGATACCTCTAGAGTAAGTCTTCGTCAGCATCCTCATATGCGCAACTACCCTAAAGAGTCTCGAAATATACAGAATCTACGATTGTGAGCAGCACGCTGTTCCCACCGCCCCCACCCCCCGGCTCTCTGATACCGTACAGTCCCGATATCCGCGTCGGCCGTCAGCATCGTATACGAGTTCCTTTGCCTCACATTGACGGTCGTCAAGACTGTTGGCGCATACCGGGTTCAGCGGAAGATGGGGATGGAGACCACTCTCAGCGGGTTATTGCTCCGAGATGGCGAGTGGCAACCACTGATCGCTTTACAATGCACATACTCACCGGACACGCTTCACGGATAGGATCACTCTACTTCGCGTGAGCACCTACATACTGGTATTCCCGCGCTCAACTGAACGTTCTCTAAATCAGAGTGCTTACGGGCTTGGGCATCTTCAGCGTCGTAGCCGCTTCAGTGAGCTCCGCAATTTTACATGTCCCGTAACTTTATTCACCGGCCGTTGACTGCAGATTCCCGAGAGCATCGTATGCTAACTTCTCAAAATCTTCGTCACCGTGCGCTCCTGATAGAAATTAATGTAGCTGCCCGTCGATATCGGCGTTATATTCGCGAGAGCGTACGTATTCAGATTGCACTCCGGACTTCGCGCACACTGACAGAAGGCGACATTGCCATCACAGTTTCGTGCCCGTCCTAACGACTCGCTTCATTGTCAACCTTTACCAGACCGGGAGGCACTCTTCGAGGGTGGATACCGGTACCCTCAGCCTCTGGAGCTTCCACGTCGCGCAGGAAAATGGTGTAGTCTCTTCACTGGCCTTCTCACGGCCTTGAACAGTAATGCCTTCTGTACTGCTTCGATTTATTACAATTTCAGGTCCGAGATTCTAACGTTTATCACGTCTCCGAGCGGCGGCTCCGATGATAGCGCAGCGGAAGACACGCCGCCCGGAATGAACGTGAACGCCGGCCGCAGTCGCATTTCTCGCTCTCATCTTCCATCTGCCAGTATCTCATCTATACCACATGTTATCAACAACTCTGCCCTCCACAGCTCAAAGCTTATGACCGCTTCCGGATGGGCGCGGTGTTCTCGGGATGACGCTGCGCGGTCTAGAGAATATTCGCAACGCGTGTTTTTGAGTGCAGTAATACTGAATCAGGTGCTTCATCACGTATGCGATGACCACCGTCGCGCTGCGCGACACGCCCACACGTGCACGAGCACCTTCCCGCCCTCCTCGCGCGCCTTGTCGATCCAGTCGCAGATCGGCTGCAGCTGCGGCTCGAGCGTGTCGATCCCGTCGTCGCAGACACCCTCGATGTCAAGCACCTTGATGCGGCCCTCGCGTTCCTCGATCCACAGCGACCCTGTCCTCCAGGGCCCTTGCCAGGAACGAAGTGGGCGCCAGAGTTGTTGGATGGCCTAGAATACGCGCAAAACGTCGATGATACACTGAATATCACGGCACTCACCTGAGTATATGCCGTAATGGCTCGTTATCCTTCGATTGAACCTGCGATGACCAGGTGAGCGCGGCACAACGCCCAACGGGATGAACGGGCTCTGACTCACCATACAAAAACATGGCGGCGGCCGGGCATGAAGCCCCTTCGCCGTCAGAGGGGAGAGGGACGAGACGAAGATGGGGGGAAAGGAGACAAGGGGCGACTGAGGCAAAGGGTTCGCGAAGGTCGAGTTATAGCTGTGATAGGCAGAAGAGATCTTCACATGTGCTGTGTGCAAGGGTGGCGAAGAGGTTGGCGAACGGCTGAGAGACTTAGGAGAAAACAAGATGTTCCCTAGACCAAAGCCAGGTCGACTTAACTCGACTGCGAGTGGGGCCAGACGGCAGCAGACAGCGCCAGAAAAACTGGAGTTCAAGTGACTCCGAAGCGAAACTAGAAGACTCCGGAGACTTGAACGAGACATGAGCAAGACATGAGATAAACTTGCTTAGAATATGGACATATGGTGACCGACTAGAGCAGAGAGACTTCGGCTGAGCAGATGTCGCCCGACGGCGTCCTAAGCGCCCATACGCGTTTCTTCCAATTGACTTCTCTCGTGAAATCCTCTGCCTCTCTATCGCAATGGATCCTCAATACCGCAACAAAAGTCAGTTGTTTCTCCCCGGTCGTTTGTCTCTTCGTTATGCCTTGCTGAATCGTTTCTTCCTCTCTAGAAATCATCAATCTTACCGAGCAAGAGCTGACCAGCCTCGGCTTTTTGGGCCCCAGTGAGTTGCTCTCGTCGTTGCACAGACACATTCATCTTGCTCACTCATGATTTGTCCATCCGCTTCGAAGATGCCCTCCCAGGGATTAAGAAACTTGTCGAGCAAATCAGGGCAGACCCGGAGAGACTTGGCCGTAAGTCCTTTTCCCCCCTCCATTTGCCTCCCCCTTCCCTCTTCGTCTTCTGTTCTTTCTTGGTTGTGCGATTATCAGTTCCCGCGTGCTCAGAGTCATGTTCCCGCTTTGCCTTTTCATTTCAGAGGTCAACTGCTTCCAGGTCGAGCTGTTGAGGGGCGAGTACGACGCCAAAGCTTCCGCTCACGGAGCTCCTCAGGCCTCTCCTACGTCTCCAACCTTTCGAGGCTCCCCCGTCCTGAGCGACGCCGACACCCTCTTCTCGCAGCCCAGTGCCAGCTCGACTGCCACGACCGTCGTCGCTCTCGACCTTATCTCTCAGTACGAGTCCAACTTCTATTACCGCGGCCTCTCGGAGGACCCTCCGAAGCTCATGTGGCGCTCCGACCTCGACACCAACCCCTTCCCCATGCCAGAAGCCGGTGAACGCTTCATCAAGCCCCCCTCCAAGACTGCCTTCGGCATCTTCAACACGCGTCTCAACAAAGTCTGGGACTCTACCGTCGCTCCTCGTATCATTGCATTGTTAAAGACGCACGGTATCAAGCGCTCGGTGCTGAAGACCGCCCGCTTCTTGATAGTCGACGAGGACGCCGGGACGGAGAGGTGGGGCCCCGACACCATTTGGATAGCCGTTCATCCCAACACCACCAAGGCTGCAGACGCTCGCGACGTCACTCCCGCCATCCTCCAGATCCTCAACGACGCTCAGGTATACGGCGCTGTCGTCGAGTGGTACGAGGGGGCTGTCGAGAGCCTGGTCGGGCCCCCTCTGATGCCCATCGTGGATAACTCCGACCCCACCTCCGGCCTTAGTAATCCCTTCGACGTCGGCCTCGGTATTCCAATCGCTAGAGCGTCCGACGATGCTCAGGGCACCGTTACTCTGCTGTTCCACGAGGTCAAGACCAAGGACGGCACGCCCAGCGACAGGATCCTCGCCCTCACTAACAAGCACGTCGCCACCGTTGACACTACCACCGACTACATCTTCGACGCTGCCAACCCTGTCAGCATCCTCGTCTGCGATGAACGTCGCTTCGATTGTGCTAACAAGGAGATCAAAGAGGCGCTCAACACAGGTCTCCGCGACGCCGTTCGTCTTGCGGGAGAGCTCAAGGACTTGCAGACCAAGGAAGGCGTGCCGGCGAAGAGAGCCGTGCAAAGGAAGGAGGCCGACTTGACCCGCCAGCTCGAAGACAACGAGGTTCGCCAGGAGCTCTTCCATGTGGTCAACGGACCGTGGAAGCTGGCCGGCAACCGCGAGTTCGCCACCGTTCTCTGGGCTCCCAAGATTTCTGTCACTGTTCCCGGCAGCCCTTACGCGCGCGACATAGCTACCTTGGTTGTCGATGAGGCGAAGCTCGAGCACTTCAACGGCAACATCGTTAATCTTGGTACGTTTCTCGATTTCCCCCATATTCCCTCCTTGACCCCGCTTTCTCTCTGTCTCTCTCTTCGTCTCAAGTTCATTTACTGACCAATCGTTTCCACCCCTCTGCAGGTAACCAGTTCACCGTCAGTCAGCTCGAAGACAAGTTTTGGCCGACCGTTGCCATTCGCGAGGACAGGACCATCCCAGCCGACCTCCAGCTCCCCATCCACGCTGTTCTCCCCCGCCGTCTCGTCATGAATCCCGACACCGAAGACAAAAACGGGGAGCCGCTATACATCGTCGCCAAGTACGGCAACACCACCAAGCTCACGTTAGGCAACTTCTCGGGCATGGATGCCTATGTTTGTACCAAGTTCGGAGTCGAGTCCCGCGAGTGCGTCATCTATAACGGCAAGGGCGCTGGCGACTTCTCAGCCAAGGGAGATTCTGGATCTCTCATCTTCAGGGGCGACGGTGTCGGTGTCGCCATGCTCCACTCGGGCATGCCTCGAGGCAGGCACAGCCATGTCACGTACGCTGCGCCCCTTTGGTGGGTGTTCAAGCTGGTCCGCGAGGAGTATCCCGATGCCGAATTCTACGGCATGACGTACACCATCGAAGATTGATTGGTAAGCCCCATCTAAGCTCCATCATCGTCGTTGTGTTCCTTCCCCCACCCCCGCTCATCAGTTGCCCCCACTGTCTTTTATCCTCGTCTTCTGGTCGTACCTCCGTTTGTATTCACGTGGTAGCTCTCTTATACTCCGACTTCGGGGCATAGGAATGCAAGCGGACGCCAAACTGGGGATGAGTGAAGCCCTAGGAGGGAATGACATCATGGGGTCGGGGAGGAAGGGAGGTTCGCGGTGCACGACATCATCCCAAAACGGCTCGCGACGTTGGCCGCGGCAGGTCTCGGCGCACTCCACAGGCTTCCAACTGCTCCTATATAACCTCTCGCGCCTCATTCGCCCTCACAAACCCCTCTCGAACCCCGCCTCGTCCACCACACACTCTGCAGGCGAGCACAATCTGGCATCGACTGTGCAGTTCAATCCGGCATCAACGTGGCTGTTTGATTCCGTTGCGGGGCCCCTAGGCTTGGTAGAAAACGAATCTATGGATGACGGTAGCGATGAAGGGCCCGAAGTACCATCCGAGCCACAGAGGCAATCTTGAAACATGTTGAGCATCGAACCCACCACCCTAGTACCAGGGAAAGTGTAGGTGTCTAAATCTTCAGGCAGGGCTTCGCGCACGCTGACAGCTGTCAAAATTCGTCATAGCTCGGTGCCTATCTTGAGGACGCGCTTTACGAGACTGCACTGGATTGGGCATCCGTATCGGTTTTTTTGTCACGCGGCAGCGCCCGAGCAGCGCCGTCTCTTCGCTGAAATCAACTTCTCTTTGACCTCCATATCTCCTGTTCTCGATGCAACGTCAAAACGCTAGCTCTAACTTGGCAGCAGCTTGAGAGAGCCGTCCCGATAATTGAGCAACACGCGTGCGGACAGCTCACTTAACTTTGGCATTCATTCACCGACCGCAGCCAGCTCGCCTCTTCGCATCTTCCATCTGTCAACATATCGTCCTGTGCGCTTTAATACCAATGCAAACACCCTCCAGAAAGCAGAGGTAATTTGAGCGTCTTGCGATAGAAGACAGCAGAAGTCAGCTGGGCAGCGTCGTGCATGCGGCCCCGCTCCCAGATGCGTTGATGCCGTTTCTCACCCAATCTTCAATCATGTACAGGCCCCGGGAGCCCCATCACTTATCTTGGTCAACATTCCTGTGACTGAAGACCGATTCTCCAGCTCCCTCGAACCCGGTTATTGTCAGCTCAATGCTGAACGAAGGCGACAATCTCGGATTTTGGCTGTGAGTACGCGCAGCATCTTATGGTAAGGTGCACTTCGCTCATTGGCTTCATTACAGATCTCAGTAAGAGGACTTCTCACCATTCTACCCGCTACAGTGCGTAACTCACTTTCAAATCCTCTGGACAGCTGACATGAAGCATTCGTCAGATCCCTAGCGTAAAAGAACGCCCGAGCCGCACGCAACACCACGCTCACCTTTGACATTTAGTTCTCGGTCGGCTCATCCCTAAGTGAAGCATTTCGCAGAAGGTATGTCCCTGCCGTCTCCGGCGTATCTGGCCCAGTTGGATTAACCACAGGGTACGGCTTGGTTTCGATGCTCACCTGTCGCTTTATCGCTAACCTCCGTGACGCCTACCTCCAAGAGTCCACCAGTATGGGCGAGAACGACTGCGGGTCAGCCGTCTACTTCAGCCCACCATCTGCGCGGTTCTTCAATTCCGTCGCGGGGCCGCTGAGCTTCGCTGGAGAAGACTCTACCGACGACGACGTACACGTAGTACCTCCAGATATACAGAGCGATCTCAACTGGTGACGATTGTAGCATAGAAATGCGGTATTCGACCTCACTCCGGCTCTACCAAGCTCGGGGGAGCTCCGATTACTGCGCAACAGAAGACACGCGCCACTCAAATCTCGGGTTGATCACCGACCGCAGCCCGTTCACCGGTTCGCATCTTCTATCTGTCAACATGTCGTCCAGTACACCGTCCTGTTCACGCTTCTGCCACCTAGAACGCAGAGGGTATATTAGCGTCGTGCTAGAAGGTAGCAGAGTAGAGGTTACCGGAGGCAATGCTGCGCAGACAGTCCCGGTCTCACACGCGCTGATGTGATTTTCCCGCTAATCTTCAGCTGTGCAAGAGCCTCCGGGCCATCACTTATATTCCTTTGACTGCAGATCCTCTCCTTGTCTCACTCGGACCCGACGTCTATCAGCCCAATGTTGAACGAAGGCTCCAATCTCAGCTTCTGGTTGTAAGCATTGGCCCGGGAAGTATGTACAAAACCTCGAGTCGCTCAATCGTCTCATGTTAGACCACTATTGGAGAGCACAGAGTTTCTCGATGGAGGAGCGAACGCCGAGAGGGTATTGCTTTCCAGCGCAGGTGAGATTCGCTACACGCCCCACTGCCACTGGCCATCCGTTTCTCCGCTTACCTTGATGGTGGCAGCGCTCTTGTACTACGACTTCATCTTAACCCTACCGGATGAAGTGCGACTCGCTTGGCGACGACCTCGGCTCGCAACTGTGCTCTTCCTCCTTGTGCGATATCTCGCCCTGGCAAACATGGCGCTCGCGGTCATCATCCAGACACCCGAGAACCCCGTAGCTCGACTCATCATCTCGGATACAGAGTAACGACCCCTTCTTCTATATCACCGAGTATTTCAATACTAACGCGACGTCTTTGAACAGCTGCCAGGCTCTGGTAAGAGCTGCGCTGATAACGCACATACTACTGAGTGCAGCTGTTTCTGGTGCGTCGTCAGGCTTTTGAGGGGGCACTTCCTGCGTTGCGGGCACATCTAACGCATTTTTGCGCACCCCAGCGTTTGTCGCCGCTCGTATCATGGCGCTGTGGTCACGAAATTGGTATCTCGGCACGATTCTCTTTCTGGCAGGTCTTCTGAACTGGTCGCCCTACGTAGAGGTAAGTGTTACGTTAACGTCTGGCCTGACTCGTTTTCGCGGCCGGGTCCCTCAATGAATATCTTCAGTCAGTTCTCGTTGGTTTCGAGATGGTGTCTGCTCCATGGCCGCTGGAGCCGTGTCTGGCATGGACAACCCGGCAAGCACCGATTGAACTGGTGTCGTACGTCTCTGTACTTCCTTGGTAGTACCTCCGCTCAGCATCTGAACTGATACCGCTTAGGTTGTACAGTAAGTCTCATCGTGGCGTTCAGGTTCTAGTATTGTACTCACGAGACGTCGTAGTCCCAGCTGCACTCTCTGCAGTCAACCTGGCATACGAGATCGTATGTCTCGTGCTTACTGTCATCAAGACCATCGGCCTGTACCGAAGGCCGTCGGGGTTAGTGCGACAAACGCGTCTAACGGATCTGCTACTACGCGACGGTGAGTCGATGCAGCCTCGCGTCTCAGGGCATGGCAGTGAATGATCTGAAAATCACGCAGGTTCCTTATATTTCGGGTGCGTTACGAGAGTTGCGTTCATAGCCTTAACTCGTATGTGCGAGACTCACGGCGAAACAATGCAGAGTCATGGCCGTTCTCGGTGTTCTGAACATATTATCTGCGACGGTATGGACTACACTTGTTCCTTTGTTTTCCGACTGACCTAATTGCTTTCAGCTCCCCAACGTAAGCTACAGACAGACTCGTTCATATCACTGTCCTCACACTCAACGTCCAGTTCACAATCGGCTCCGCACTTGGCGAGGCGTTCAGCAGAAGGTATGCCCCTGCTATCGCCTGTGAACAAGAGCTCATGTCAGGGTTCCCCGCAAACTTTACAGTTTGGTTCCGATGCTCACATGCCGCTTCATCGCCCACCTCCGGGACGCCGGCCTGCAAGTCTCTACGACGATAGGCGAACAGGATTCCGCGTCGACCGTGCATTTCAGTCCGCCATCAGCACGACTGCTCGATTCCGTCGCAGGACCACTAGACTTGGATGACAACGAGTACACCAGCGACGACAGTGGGGTGCGCTGAGCGCCCTCGAGCTTAGAAAAGGAGCCAGGGTAATGTACGAGCTTGATGTCCCTTCAGTGTGAGTACTTATCCTCAGAGTCGGTGCTTAGTTGCACTAGCTAAACGAAACTGCCTTACAAGTTGCGTCTGCAATTGACAGGAGCGTAACACTTCCAGATAGTCGACTCCCTTCCGTTCGCATCCCTGTGTCCGGATGGCGGCGGTACTCGCGTGAACGTCCCCAACCTACCCACGGAAGCCGGAACGTTCGTGCGTATGGAGGTATGGTGGGAGGTCGACCATATACACTTACGAAATGTATGCTAGTCTTCGCGCTCGTTTCATTGGTTGCGCCATGTATATATCGACCTGGACTTCCATCGTAGAGCACCGGGCTAACCCGTGATATGTATACCGCTCCGACGGGCACCCAGTGGCCATTTGGAGCACGCGTGTGCGCATGCAATATTCCGCTTAGTGGTGCAACTATAGGTTTTCAGAGTACGTGTTTAGCTTTTCTAATCAATTAATCAAGCCCCACGTAAAGGCGGTTTGTTGCGTGCGGGGCATAGGAATGCAAGCGGATGCCAAGGTGGTGGGATGAAGCCCTAGGAGGGAATGACGTCATGGGGTCGGGGAGGAGGGAGGTTCGCGGTGCACGACGTCATCCCAAAACGGTTCGCGACGTTGGCCGTGGCACGTCTCGGCGCACTCCACAGGCTTCCAAAGTCTCCTATATAACCTCTTGCGCCTGATTCGTCCTCGCAAACCCCCCTCGAACCCCGCCTCGTCTACCACGCACACTCTCGTTCCTCACCATGACCAGCATGATCACCTCTGTCTCTCGCAACGCTTTCAAGCGCGTCATTGCACGCCCCTCGACCTCTGCGCTGGGCGCGACGCCCCGCTTCTACTCGAGCACTATGCACGATAACGACCCTGATGTAGGTGTCGATGTATGCGCAGACCACGACATACTAATCAAGCTTCTCACAGGTTCTTGAGCAAGAGAAGAAGCGTAACTTGAGCAAGGAGCAGCACAAAACCTCCACCCCTCATCCGGACCACGCACCTGGTTGGAACGAGAACCTTGCCAGTGCATCTGAGGCAGCCATCAAGGTGCGAAGCACTATACCCTCATACTATGTTCAGACGCTCACCTCTACTCTCCAACAGGCTGACCAGGCCGGTGTAACCCCTGGAGACCTGCAGGAGAAGACGGTCAAATACGTGAAGGAGCGCCACCACGCAACAGACTCGGCAACGACGACTGAGCCTGGAGTATCGACGTCGCGGATGGCACACACCAGCTCGGGCGAGGCGTCGAACAAACGCGACGAGATCGACGGTCCCCTCAAGACTGCCCACGGCACGAAGAGCACGTAATCAGCAAGGATGCTTCGAAGGAGGATACCGGAGCATTTTCAAGACCTACTTTATCACTTGTACTAGTACCTAGTTTGTGCGACTGACTCAATCCCACCGTCATGTTCGTCCATTTTGCCCTTCGAGCCTGCATATATGCGTGTCCTTCTGCGAGAAAGATCACAGATGAGTGCCGCATCACCCCCTCCACAAGCTATCGGTGGTTCGCCGCATGCTGCTGTCAACAGGAAAGACTCTGTGGTTGCCGTGCAAGCGATTGACAAAAGCGTACGCGTGGCGACAGATGAAAGTGGGAAGTAGGAAAGGCGCCCATCATTTCGCCCACGTTGGCTGAACGAGGCGGGCTCTCCCTCGCCACCTTCTGTCACCCCGTCATCGTTCCCCACACTGTGCTGCAGCTGCGAATCTTTATCTCACTCGATAAGCTCACTGCGGCTCGATCTGCTCGATACTACGACGAAATCCTGGCACCTGGGCAATATCGCGACGATTGCCACCACAACGCTGCAGGCGTCCTATGCTGAACGACACACGCTGTACACCGAAGGCTACCTCATAGCACTTGCCCTCTGGCGACGCCCCGCCGGATGACTGTACGCTCCTCCAAAAGGCACACACATACCCCCCACCGCCGTTGGCCGACCATACGATGAATTCTTTCTGGGACATCGTCGACTGGCTCCTCCCACCCGTGCGTATCGTCGACGACCTCACCGGCCCCGCCGACTCGCATATACACCGCTCCCGCAGCAACAACCACCATAGCCACCACAGCCCGCAAGTTTCACGGCGCGCGTCTACGAGAGACTTTGACAAGGAGAAAGAGCGCGAGCGCGAACGAAAGCGCGCTCTTCGTGTTGCAGAGCAGGACCGGGAACGGGAGCAGCAGCGCCAACGCATACACCACCTCGAGCGCGAGAATGATCTTCTCCGAGAACAGCTGAAGGCAACTCGCGAGGAGCTCGCAAACATCACCAGTGCGGTCTTCCCACCCACCCCCGACCGCACGTTGCCACCATCCCCATGCACGCCTCTAGACTCTACCCAACCTCTGGCGCTGACGCCAGCGCACCTAGAAGTCCCTTCAAACCCCTCACAGCAGATGGTCAACTCCGCCGAAGCCGCTCTCTCCGACCCCAAACGACTCCGCGTACTATACACCGCCCTCCGCGCCACATACGGCGACGTCCGCCAAACAATCATCTCGCAAGCAGAGGAGCTCGCCTCGCTCAAGTCCTTCCTATCCAAGACGGACGACTGGTCCGGCGCGCAGCTCCTGCAGGCCCTCGCGGACCTGAACTCAGAGATCATCCAGCTCTCCGCGTCCATCGCGGAGGAGTTCTCGCCCGCGCTGCGCCAGCACGACCACGCGCCGTCCGCCGCGAAGGAGCGCGACCGCGAGATCGTCACGCTCGCGCTCGGGCCGGAGGTCATCAGGCTGCTCGAGGACCGGCTGCACGCGGGGGACCCGACGCTCGTCCAGTTCGCGCTGCAGGCGTGGGATGTGTGGTGCGTCTCGCGCGTGCTCGACGCGTTCTTCTACGGGCTCCCGGTGGAGGTCAACGAGGCGTTCAGGCTCATCTTCGAGCACATGCATCGCGAAGGTGAGCATCCCGCTTGACTATATGCGGACGGTAGGCTAACTGGGATTCAATTTCAGAGCCGCAACCGACGACTTCGCGCTGGCGCGCGCTCACGTACAAGTACGCGCATACCCTCTTTGTCCAACGTCGCTCGTCCTCCGACCCTCCTTCCCCCGACTCTGCGAATCCCTCCCCTTTCAACTCCGCGCCCCCATCCCTCGCATCATCCTCCGCTCTCCCTCAGCCCCTCATCAATCTGACCGAAAGGAACCTGCGCGGAGTGATCGCCATCCTCGCCCTCGCAGGGTGCACAGACGCGCGGGGGCTGCACCGCGACCCGCTCCGCACCCGTTTCGGCAGCGCGCTCTCGCGTATAAGCGCGCGCGCGGAGCGCATCTCGAACGTAGTCAAGACCGGCGTCATGAGCGGGCTCTTCGAAGCCGTCTGGGTCCCGCCCTGCCCCTCGCCCCTCCCTGTAAGCACGCGCAGCAGCGTCATCGAGGGCGGCGCGTCTGCGAACGGCGCGGGCCACCCTGGCAAGGGCAAGGACCGCGAGCGCGAGCGCGAGTGGGTGAAGGAGGTCGAGCGCGAGCGGCGTGCGGAGCGGGCGGACGACGACGCGTTCGAGGCGCCGGCCGCGTCGGGCGGGGCCGCGTTCGATGCGGAGGCGATGGAGAACGTATATGCGGGGTACGGGAACGAGAAGTGCAGGGTGCTGTGCACGGTCGAGCTTGGGCTCGCGTTCCGCCGGCGTGTTCCGCAGGAGGAGCGCGAGGACGAGAGCGTGGACGGGGACGGCATGCCTGCGAAGGCTGCGACGGAGCTGGGCGTTGGCAGCCGCGTGCCTTCGCAGAGCTCGACCGACGCGGGGATGAGGATGGATCGGACGCTACTGCTGAAGCCGAAGGTGCTGCTGGAGAGCGTTGTTGATATTTTGTAGCTTCGCAGAGGGCCAGGTAAGTGTCGGCTGTCGTTCAGCGTGAAGTTGGATGGCTGATGTTCATCTTTGCGCAGAGGGCCTTTCCGCGGAGGTTGGGCTGCCCACTATTCTCCATCACGACCGCGACACGACTGCTCCGTATACTCTTTTATGTTATCTCTCTCCATCTGTCCCACCTCCCCTCCATATTCTGGGTGTGCTTCGACCGCACCCCCTTCCTCTCCCTCTCGACCCAAAATGCTCCATCTTGGACTCACGACATATACGCACGCATACCATATATCTATACTCCCACGTCTTGCTTTCCCGCTGCAGATTTATTCCCGTCTTCGGTTGTATATTCCGTCTTCGGTTGTATATTGGCATACCTACTGTAAAGCGATACCCTTAATGACGGATCCGGGCGCGGCAGGCCTGCTGCTGCCAACCTCACCTGCTCTCTCTCGTTCATCTACTTAGGCTCTATCCATCTCGTAGGCGGATCGTCACCAAACCGCTTAATTCGAGGGTCTTCACAGGTTAAGTATATGTACTTGTACGGCATCTAGGTGACTTCGAAGGGGGCTCTTCGAGACGCAAGATGACGGACGTAAAAACTACCACCGGTAAGTGTCATCTCTAGACCGCATGATGCTCACGCCTGAATACGATGCTTCTCCAAGAAAGACGACAAGAAATCCAGCAGACCCCCCCACCCACGACCCCAGCTCGGCCTACCCTCCCACCCAACAGGCAACCTAGTCCCCCTATCTATCATTCTATCCAGCTCATCCACTTCTCAATCCATGTAGCAACCTCCTCGTCGTGCATCATGACCGGATCCTTGCAGTTCTGGGTGGCCCACACCTGGATCTTGCGCCACGTGCACCCCGTCCACAGCGCGAATCGCCGTCGTGCACCCGGGCCCTCTTCGTCCGTCGCACACAACACGGAGGTGTCAAGCACGCCTGCCTCGCCGCGCAGGTACCGCCGGAGCGGCTCGTCAGGCGTGTGCTCGCCGTGCGGTCGCGTAGAAGAGCATGTCGGTCATCCAGAAGCAGTTGTACCCTACCACGCTGTAGGGCCGGGGGATGTGGTGCTCGTACGCGACGGTGAAGAGGGACGTGAGCGCGGCGAGGGAGGGTCCGGCTTCCTCGGCGGCAGCTTGCGTCGGAGCGGCGATGCGCGAGATGAGGCGGCTGTCCTTCGTGAGCGAAGCGTGGAGGTCGCTGAGGGAGACGTCGAGCCGCGAACTAGACTCCAGCGCGATGGGTGCGTCACGGTAGTCCACCCGGATGTGCGTCCTGCGCCCGTCGGGGAGGCCGATCGTGAACACGTTGTACTGGTGCCCGAGGCGGCCGCCCGTGATGCGCACGACGGTGCTCGACGGCGCGGTGTCCATGTAGACTTCGAAGCGGATGAGGAAGAGTGCCCTCGAGAGGGGCTGCCTCTGTAGGCACTCTATCCATTCGTTCATTGGAAGGGGATAGGTTGCAATCGAAAGTTTGCTGAACTCGAGTACCTCGCTGATGAGGGCGCAGAACTGAGAGTAAAGGGTGATGATGAGACTCGTGGCTGACGGCGATCCGGCCGAGCTGGACGAAGCATACGACATCTTGCCAGTGGTGTGTGGGACCTTGCTGGTCACAACTAAGTGGACTTTTGGCCCTAGACTGCGTACCCTGTTACAAAGACCTCGTGCACGTCGACGATGTGGTGTCCAAGGCCACTGGCTCGTGCTGCGGTAGCTCACCATTGGACGCAATATATGCACAAAGGCGCCAGTTCCGGTGAGCGCATCCTGGTCCTCAGTCCAGCATCTTTTCCACGGTCAATAATCAAGGTACGCATTGAGAAAAGAAGCCAGCACCACTGACAGACGTTGGGTGAATTAGGATATGTTTCGTTACCGCTCGACACCGGCGTTCAGACAGGCAGACACGCGAACTTTGAACGTCACCGGCCGCAGACCCGCTGCAAATAGCGCGAAATCCCCGTTTCTAACATTCCATCCGGCTCATCCACATCCCAATCCACAAGTTGACCTCCTCGTCGTGCATCATGACCTGATCCTCCCGGTTCTGCGTAGCCCACACTTGCACCCTGCGCCACGTGTTCCCGGTCCACAGCGCGATTCGTCGTGCGCCCTCTTTCTCCGTCGCACACGATACAGATGTTTCTAGCACGCCCGCCTCGCCACGCAGGTAGCGCCGAAGCGGTTCGTCGGGCGTGTGTCGACCGGGGAGCCATAGCCCGCCGTACCGTCGCGCGATGGAATAGAACAGCATGTCGGTCATCCAGAAGCAGTTGTACCCCGACACAGTGTACGGCCGTGGAATGTGGCGCTTGTAGGCGACGGTAAAGAGCGCGGCGAGCGCAGCGAGCGAGGGGCCAGCTTTCTCAGCGGCAGCCCACGTCGGGGTGACGATGCGCGAGATGAGGCGGCTGTCCTTCGTGAGCATCTTGTGGTCGTCGCTGAGGGAGACGTCGAGCTGCGAGCTGGACTCGAGCGCGATGGGTGCGTCCCGGTAGTCGACACGGATGTGCGTCTTGCGCCCGTCGGGGAGCCCAATCGTGAACACGTTGAACTGGTGCCCGAGGATGCCCGCCGTGGCGCGTACGACGGTGCTTGACGGTGCCGTGTCCATCCAAATTTCGAAGTAGACGAGGAAGAGCGCCTTCGAGATGGGCTGCTTTTGCAGGCAGTCTATCCACTTGTCCATTGGGAGCGGGTAAGTCGCACTCGAAAGTTCGCTGAACGCAAACATGTTGCTGATGAGGGCGCAAGACCGGGAGGCAAGGGTGATGGCACTAGGGGAAGACGGTGTGTTGGCCGAGGACGACGCGTACGACATCTTGCTAACGACCAGTGGGACCTCGCTGTTCACGACCAAGCCGAGCTGTAGGCTTTAGACTGCATGCCACGAGTTATGTCGGCCTCATGCGTATATGTATATATACACCGGGAACGTCCGGCCGCGGCAGAGGGTGCGGTGGCCGCGACCACCGAACCATGCTGCGGTAGTTGACCATTGGACGCATGGCCGCGATTAGAACGTGCCAGCCGGCGTGCGCGTTCCCTCCCCGGCTTTCCCTAAGCCCAGATACCCTAGGTGCGTGAACATCAATAAAGAGCCCCAGGTCGCTGACAAGCCACCAGAGAAGTAGAGATTGCTCATTACCGTTCAGCACGGGATCCATACAGGAAGATAATCGGACATGTCTCCAGTCAAGTTGTATGAAATTGCAGACCCGCTGCTGATCATCCTTGGCTTTCGCCGACAAGTGAGTCCAGAATGTCATGTAAGAATCAGACACCAAAACCGCTCACTGAGTCCTCTCCCAGTCACCCACGACGCGGAACTGGCTTAGACCAGCCGCTCCCTCCCCCTACGTTCGTCCCATTCGCTCACCCAGTCCGCGACCTCCTCATCGTGCATCATATACCGCCCCGCCCCCGCCTCCCCCCAAGTACTTTGCACGTGGACCCAGCGCACCGCATACGCCGCCCACCGCGCGTACCGCCGTGCGGCCTCGCCCGACAGTGTGCACGCGATCGCCGTCTCGAGCACGCCCGCTTCCCTACGCAGATACAAACGAAGCGGCGCGTCCGGCGTCAGGACGCCCGCGAGCCAGTGCGCCGCGTACCGTCGTGCAAGCGCGTAGAAGAGCGTGTCCGCCATCCACAGGCAGTTGCGGCTTAGGACGCGGTATGGCCGCGTACCGAGGCGTGCGCTCGCGACGCCGAGGAGGGAGGCCAGGTCTGCAAGCGACGGGCCGCTTAGCTCTGCCTCCGTTCCGCCGTGTTCGCCTGCAGCCCAGGAGTGCGGAGAGACCATGCGGGAGAGGGTGTAGCTGCCCGCGGTGAGCGCATTGCGGTCGTCGTTGAAAGTGAGGATGAGCTTGGAGCCGCAGGGATGGTCCTCGGCAAGATAGTCGGCCTTGATGTAGGTGCAGCGTCCGTCGGGGAGTAGGACCGTCGCGACGATGTATTGGTGCCCCAGAAATCCGGTCGTCGTTTGCACGAGGGCGTAGGACGACCACGTCATCTTGTATATCTCGACGCAGGTTACGCGGATCGTCGCCGCCGTGGGCTGGAGCCGCTGGCACGCGGCCGCGAAGGTCGCGAATGAGATGGGGTGGGGCGCCTGTGACAACTCTTGGTCCCTGAGGCCGTCTTGGATGAGTGCGGAGCGTTGCGCTGCGCCGGGGGCAGGCGTAATAGGGTGGAAGTATAAGTGATGGGCCATGTTTGCGCTCTGCTGCGCACTGTCTAGCTTGGGATCTATCATGTTGGTAGCAGTCTGAATCTGTCGTTGGAGGAATTTTGAAGAGGAGACGCACTCACGGGCTATATACCAGTCCTATCCGTGTGGCCTCGCGGCTTGGCTATACATCGAAGGTGACCAGCCAGCTATAGCTGTGTTTGGAGGAAGCTTGAGACCAGTGCTGGATGCAGCGATGCCGCTCAACATGAGGTGAGCACAGGCTATCCGCGAAGCCTGGATTGGTTCGTGTTGAGACTGTGTAGGATAAGCTCGCAGCAAACCGCAGCGCACCTGCACAACTTGCACGAGCTGCTGCGCTGCAAACCATATCGGATTGTCACCATCGGTGGGAGCATTGCATTCCTAACCGCGAGTAACCACACAGCCCTACGTAGATTTTAGACACAGAGACGTCAAAAAAGCAGTCAAAACACCCACAACATCAATCTGAATCGCAAGAGGTCGATGCAAACGCACGTCCGAAGGAGCACCGCCAGCTACTTCTAAGCCGCAGCCTTCTCCGCCTAGTCCCACTCCCTGGCCAACTCAGCGACCTCCGCGTCGTGCATCACGAACCTCCCCGGGCCGGAATCCTGCATCAACGCCATACTACTAGAGGATCAGATGCTAGAAGTCAAGCGTTCAAGCCAGAAGCGCTGTGTTGCACAGAGCCCGTCGCATCATTGCAGCCTAGCTTTATACATACACGCCGCCTCTTGAGCTGCGGTAGGAGAAGTACCGCGAACTGCACACAAAATCCAATCATGTAGAGGTGGGGACAGCACCGGGACTCACGTTATGAACGCCGCACAGAGCCTAACGCTGCGGCAGATCGCTATTGGACGCAATGTAGAGGTTCCGGACGCATGTATGCTGGCAGGCTGTCGGCGAAGTACAGAACACTTCATTACCGCTCATCGTGTGCTCCATCCGGATCAAAACGAGGAAACTTGGTATATGCGCACCTTAGGCTACGCCTTGGGGGGAGCGAAGGGGATCAAAACAGACGAGAGTGCTCTTGAGGAGAGAGAGTGTGTGTAGCACCAACATCGGGGTTTGATGTGTTGCTGGAGTTCCGGAGTCGCATATCGGCAGCTCACTTTGATTGCGAGCGTAGCGTGTGTTACCAGTCAGGCATTTGTATGGTTTCGCAGAGGCCAACCTTTCAGTTCAAGTTGTACGCTGCAACATTAGAGGCGGGGACGTTTCGTAGGCAGTAGCAGCGAAGTTGGGAGTTGTTTGTACATTGACGGCCGGGGAGATTGTTCCCAGTAGCTCGCCTGGGGACGAGCAAACCCCAAGACTGTTCTCCAGTCACCCTGGGGATCGACAAGGGCTCCGATCCAGTCCCGGACTGTCCGGTATCCACCCTAGGCAGACACCGCGCCCACATACGAATGGCAGAGGATGTGAGTCTCATTTGAGGACATGAGGGACGTGTTGCGGCAACGGTATGTAGGCATAGACGATACACGAAGAGGAGCCAAGACCTACGCTGCAAACCATATATATCGAGTTCTGGGTCCAGTAGAAGTATTGCACTTGCAGCACTGACAATCGCAGACCAATTGTCCATGCCCTAGAACAGAGATATGAACGCAACAGTCAGTGCATCTGTGTGAGCAGACTTGATGAAAAGCAAATGCTCACATCTTCCTTACAAGACATAGTGGGCCGAAGGCGTGGTCCTCTCCACCTTCTCCCAGTCCCTTAGCCACTCGATGACCTCCTCGTCGTGCATATCGTACTTCCTGTCCCGAGTAAAGGCGACCTGCACCGCGCGCAGCTTCCTCGCGACCTCCCACGCGATCTTCCGCACAGCTTCGTTTGGTATCGCGCACGCCGTCATCGTGTCAAGCACCCCAGCCTCGCCGCGCAAGAAACATTTCAGCGGCTCCTCGGGAGTGAGGCTACCGGCGGCCAGCATTAATGCAGCGTATCGTTGCGCGGGCGTGTAGAACAGCATCTCCGTCATCCAGATGCAGTTGTGCCCGACCACGCAGTATGGCCGCGTGACGAGGCGCTCGACGGCCACTGCGAAGAGCGAGGCGAGCGCGGCGAGCGTAGGAAGTTGGGGCGACGCCCCGGGTGCGGCTGGAGGCCCGGGAGGGACCGTGATGCGGGAGTTCAGTTGGCTGATCTCTGTGAGCGTGCCGTGGTCATCGCTGAGGCGGACCGTGAGGCTTGAGGTGGCTCCGAGCGGCGGCTCCGCACGGTAGTCCACCCTGATGTACGTCTTGCGCCCATCGGGGAGGAGGACAGCGAAGGCGTTGTACTGGTGCCCAAAGAAGCCCTTTGTCGCTCGTACGACGGGACTCCGCGGTGTGTAGTCGACGAAGGATTCGAAGGTCGTGACATAGAGCGCTGCGGATATGGGGTGCGCTCGTAGGCAGTCCACGAAGGTGTTCATCGAGAGAGGGTATGATGCAACTGAGAGTTCACAGGACTCGAGCACCTTGACGAGGGCGGAAGACTGCGATGCGCTCGAGATCGATGGGGACGACTTTGAGGAAGGATAGAGTGAAGAGAACTTCGGCATGCTGCAGGTGTGCAAGCTGTGAGCTTGGAGGATCCAAGTCGCGCCGCATGATTGCGACTTATATACGTACCACCGGTATATACCTCTCCGTCTGTAAGAGGAAGAGACACGAAGAAACGACACCATAGACAAAGTTTCATCGCAGAGGCGTGGTGGCCACACTGCGGTGGACGCTATTGAATACAGAAAAAAAGAGTTCCGTCAGGATAGAACATCGAACGTGTGGTGGACGGCAGTCCACCGACGAGGTGTCCTGGCAGGACACCTCATTACCGCTCGGCACGTGGGTCAGGCGAGGTGGATCAATATAGACGGTCGATATATCTGTGTATGCCAACAAGAGTTGGGTGGCGGATTACTGCAGAGTACGTTGTTGTATACTTCGTCAGAGATTCACTGAACTCTTCGGATGACTGTCGTGATGAGTAGCAGATCGTCACGGAAAGATAGCAACTTGCTGACCTAAGAGGTAGAGGGATGTACTGTTGCAATGGCCCTGGGCTTGCTACGTTAGCGAGGTACAACGCAGGATCTATGATAAGAGTCAGCATAAGGGCTATCAAGCCAGGAGCGCGATATCTGGCTGAATCATCAGGATGTCATCGTTTTCATTCCACTCACCGGATACATCAACAGTGACGACGCTATAGCTGTCGGTGACTTGTGCCGTTAGAACGCGAGTCGGTCCGAGATGACGCGCTCAATGAGCTCCTAGACACGAGCACGGCGAACTCGTGACGCTTCGCATGCCACCTGCAGAGTGCCTGCATGGAGCTCGGGCCCGGCACAATCGATGCTGAACGCTTCTTCGAGGCACATTAAAGCTTTCAAGCCGCCGGTCGCCCACCCCATCGTACTTAAGGCGGTGCGGCCGCAAGACGGGCACGTACTCGCGACTCCATCGCCGGTGCCTGTCATGCAGGAGTCAGCGAGGCTTCACAGATATAACCTGCCTATGACCGCTGTACATCGACGGGCGAGGCTCCCTAACCACGGCGAGCCCAGTGCTTGCCCGAGACTTGGCGTCGGCGGGTGCAGATCCTCATGCCCATCGCTCAGGCCAAACCGCGCCCTACGCGTGTGAGCACGCCACCCGTATGTCGCAGAGCAGCCGCACTCACCCCGCCGTGCACCTGCTATGCTATCAGCGGGAGTACCTGATCACCAATCCCGCTCGCAGCGCACGCCGCAGTTCTCGTGATCCCAATCCTCCCGGGGACCGCCACTACTCGGGCCATCCCAGCTCGGCAGGCGAGTGCACGCACCGAGAGCGCCGATTGCGATGGGCGCGGAGCAGCGCAGATGTGACCGCCGCAGAGGGTGCGCACTGCGACATGCCCCGATCCACGTCACCCTGCTCGCCTCCGGGGACGCCGGTGGCCCGCGCCGCCAGGCACCGTCCGTATTCGCTCGAGGTGTTCGCCTGCAGCTGCGGGCGGGGCGAGGACGGGGATTGCGGCTTCGGAGGCTAGAAGGACGAGGCACATTGGGAGCGTGCAAGGAAGACGCGTACGGCGCGCAGTCGCGGGCGGGCGAGACGAGTCTGCTCGCGATAGGCCTCGACGGCCGGCGTGGGCCAGTGAGCGGCCGTACGGGGAGGCGTGCAGCGAAGCGGACGTCAATGCAGGCGACGAGCGTAGAGTACGTACGGGCGGGCGTTGGAGGAAGAGCAGAGTGGGCGGTCTAGACGAGCACGGTGAGAATGGCCAAGGCGGGAGAAGCTGGGCGAAGGCGTCTGCGAAGGGCGTTGGCGTGCTAATCACCGAACCAGAGGGCGGGAGAGCGGCAGAAGGGCCGTGTGCGCGGTAGAAGACCAGGGTGCACGCTGGTGCAGAGCGCGTTGCCTGAGAAGAAGTGGGACGCATAGCCGCAGTACGTGAGCTGCCAGTTCCAGTTGCGATGGATGGCATCTTGTTGAGATAGATGGTAGATGGTGGTCATAGCCTGTGGCTCTGGTCAATCAACGAAATGCATCCTAGGACGATATCGACAGACAGAAGCTGACGTTGGGCGCACAGAGAGTGGGAAGGTGATATGGCTGACCCTCTAGCGGCGTGCCCCCATCCGAGCCGGAGCTGCAGCTGTCGATATTTTCGACTCCGTTTGTCGTCCCGAGATGAAATTTAATCTTGGCACAACCGCACAAAGGCCATATACATCTGGCACGCCATCGATTGCGTGTTCGCGTAGGATCCGCTGAGGTCGGCGAGGATAAGGAGCCAAATTGCGATGGGACGTATAAACGTCGGGGATGTGGACGTGAGAGAACGGCGAATTGTAAGGTAGGCGCCCAATATGCAAAGAACTCGACCTTTCCTGATCGGGCTTTATGGTTTCTTTCTTTCCTCCCACCAGCTCCAGCAGCCGCCAGCAGTGGCGGATTTGCATGGGTCTTGTTCTCTGAAACACCTTCTCTTTGACGGCATAGAAAACGTCCTTCCGATGACCAAGAGCTGACTACATAGGCGCAGTTTTATATGCGGACATAATAAACCCCGAAGAACCTCCTTCTGCAAGTAAGTACGGTATGCCGGACGTCGTCCGCATGAGATCTTGGTGCGATCCGGGACGTACGGGTGTGTAAAACAAGGTACGCGATATCGAGGACACCTCACCCTGATGATCTGTCAAATCGCAGAGGAGGGCAAAGCCGCGGGTGCGCGCGCTCCGAGGGAGGTGAGCGGCCTTCTGGTCTTCCATAACTCTCTCCATCGCTTCCCACCGTAATCTTTCGATCCCTCGAACGATGGGTGCGTTCCAGGCGCAGCGCCGTTGAGCCGAGGACGCGCGAAAGCGGTGTCGTGCCCGTCCGAGTGCAGCGTGCCCTGCGCCCGTCACACTCCCGTCATGCGTCGCCGCCTTGGTGTCGCCGTTAGCCCCACCGCCCAGCCGTCCATCGACACTTCACATCGCTCTCCCCCCGCCCGGCGCGTCTTGCCCCAGCCCCGCGCGGCCGCACGGCGATTGCGAGGCGCGAACCACTTCGCCAGATCGCATCGCCCGCGCGATGCAGCTCGCGAGCGCGTCGCGTCTGTGACACGCGCGCATCGAGACGTGCGCGGCGCAGCCGGATAGGCCGTCCAGAACGTGTCGACGGCCCGTTCATCATGCCCCCGCAGAGTATATATGGGCTCGCGCCGCTGCCCGTCACTTTTTGCTCCCCCAGACAGCGCTGCCCGTTCGTTCGCCCGCCGCCGACACCTGTCCCGCCCCCCCTCGCCTCCCTTGCGGCCGCCTACCCCTCCCCCGCCCGTCGCCATGAAGTACTGCACGCTTGCGCTGTTCCTCTTCGCGTTCATCGTCGCGACCGTCCAGGCGGCCAGCCTCGGGACGAACGCGGAGCGTCTTGCGCGCGGCCTGCCGCCGCGCTCGCCGACGCGCCTCTACAAGCCCAGCGCGCGGGATGGTGAGTCTTGCTAGGTGCCACTGGTGATTGGACCATTCTCTGATCATTCAATGTTCTATTTGTAGCTGCGAACAAACCGAAGCCGTCCGCGAAGCCGCCTCCCACTTGCTCGACTGGCCCCGTCCAGTGCTGCAACTCCGTCGAGAAGGCCAGCAACCCTGTCGCGTCGCTCATCCTCGGGCTGCTCGGCATCGTGCTCGGCCCCGATGTCGTGGTTGGCATCACCTGCTCGCCGCTCTCCGTCATTGGGATCGGTGCCGGAAGCTGGTCAGTACACAATCTCCTGCCTTCCCGTCGCGCATGCATGCTCACGAACCCCCGCCATACAGCTCCGCGAACGCCGTCTGCTGCGAGAACAACTCGCACGGCGGGCTCATCTCCATCGGATGTATCCCCAGTAAGTCCCCCATCGAGCCTCCAGACGCCGTCTGTCACTGTCACTGACCATTCCTCCAGTCATTCTTTGAGCCGTCCAACTGCTCCGCTCTGTTTTCGCGATACACTATTACTCCGCCCTCGCTTTCGCTTTTGACCCTCTTTGTGTCCTGAGCCCGAGATTCCCTCCAGAAACCAGAGTGTGCCGGCCCGATCCGGCGCCGCGGCGTTGTGGACTATCTACGTTTCGTCTCGCCGTTGGGTTCTTAAATACTGTGACGAGCTGTTGTATACACTACTTCGTAGGGTACTAGATGATCTATGCGGTTTGAGCAACGTCAATGGCTTGCCTCGTTCTCTCGATGCGGCTTCAGCAGCTTCATTGGACCGAGTGACAGGGTATTGAGTGCGTCAGTCCTTTAAAAATATCTGTGGAGTCGGGAGATAGAGTTATACATAGCTTGAACGATGTCATGCCATGCGGTGAAAGCAGGGGATACTATCGCGCCAGGAACGTGTCTCATCTTCTTCCCAGGAGTTCCGCGTCGACTACTCTTTCCTGCCCGTCCAAGGTGGGAGTCGGATATAATGTGACTGCGTCACGCTCGGTGGAAAAGGTGGGCAAGGTTCCGCAAACGGACCTTCGTCCGCAACTTTGACCACGATCTGCGACGTCTGGGTGGCGCCCTTTCCTTTCCTTTCGTGAGGACGACTTCTAGCTGAACGTTGCATTACGGATGCCGTACACAGCGTCTTCTACGGGACGCTCGAGGCCGAAAGCAGGCAGAAAGCCCTAGCGGGCGCTGACCGCCGCTTTCCACTGCCACCACCATACTGCCTACCATCTGTGGATATTCCTGCCAGCCTGATCATCGATTAAGAGCGTTGGTATGTCCGCCTAATCAAAACAAGTACTGAATTACCATCTGCTCGTCTAGAAGTGCCCCCAGCCATTACATCGTCTTTGGCCGATTCGGCCTCGAGGATCTCTCTGATTTTTCTGGAGAGCACGTTCTTCGCCTCGTCGAACAATGCCCGAGTCGTAGTGGCGCTCTCCTCGTCCATACGTACGTGTATTTTCAGCCAGCGACGATCCCAGCATGAGACCACGTAAAAGCCGCTCCTCCGTCGGTGTCCCTTTGACTATACACTTATGTTCTATTTGCAGGATTACAGTCATGGAATCAAGCTCCCGACTCCACTCGCAGGTGCTTTCACGGCGTTCTCTGGACAGCGTAAACGCGGCGCGCATGAGGGCCTATCGCTTTCGACCCCGCCCTACCTCCGCGCACACGCCGCGTTCTGTCACTGCGTCGTGCAAATGTCAGTGTCCAGGGCGACGACGGCGTACTAGCGTCAACTGTACACCACTGGACATAGGGCATCATACCAGTGGAGGCACTCGACGTGCTGATACGTCTATGTCGACAGAAGGCAAACTCATGACATTCCACGTATCACCGACCGGATGCATACGATTAATTATATAACAGCACCCTAAACGTCAGAATCGAGAAACCCAACACTGGTCCAACGGCACTGAGAAGTCCACCCTACTTCTCCGCGACGAGGGCTGAACCACAACTATAACAGAACTGATGACGCGAAACGCACCCGCCGGGACAGACCATGGTGAGCTCCTCAGTCTCGAGGGCGGGTTTCACCGTGGGTGGGCTCACGCCGAACGCCCCGCGCGTGGTTTGAGGTACCAGCGCGGCGTGAAGGAGCCTGGTGACTATCTCCGCCGAGCCATCCGGAAGGCGACCCTTTTCTAGCTCGCCAACGTAGAACGCAATGCGAGATTTCACGGATTCGTGGTGAATCCATGCATGCAGGTACTTCTCTTCCTCCTTCTTGACCGCGGGGTATCTGGCTCAGCGTGATCAGAGCGCTGAGCTAACTCATGGTCTGCTTCATTATCTACTCACAGTGAAGTGAAGTTTGAGAAGACCTCCGGCAATATATTCTTCATAGTCAGCTTTTTCATGATCGCATTCAAAGCAACCCTTTCGAGTGAAGCGATGCCATACTGCGATATCCCGGTCAGTATCACCAGCTGTACCAGTAATAGAGAGAATGTTCAGGACGCTCACTTTCTCTGCCAAACGATACATGGATTTGGGCGAGCACTGTGCCGAGGGGATCCCTCCTGGCTTCGGCGCTGTAGCCGGGGGCTCATTCTGAGTTTCAGACTTTAGGGATGCGAACTGTAGCGACGCTTGTCCGAAGTATGCGTAGATTATAAACGCCTGCCATCTGAAAGGAAGGAACACAGGGTTGTGATAAAGAATCAGGCATCAGAAGCGCGAGCTTACGTCTTGTATGCGATGTCGTCGAGGAAGACCACACGCCCTAATCTCGTCTGACGTATTCCGTCTGGGCGGGCGAGCTCGCTCGAGCTAGGACGTGCCTGTTCTCCGCTGGGATGGTCTTCGGGGTGTTTGGCGAGGTTCACTTGCGGTTCTTCTTTCCTGCCCTCATTAGCTACAGGCGACGCTAGTGCTGGGACCTGCGAGCTGACATGAGCTACTATGACTTAACGTACAAATGAAAGATAAAGTATATACCCTAGTAGACTGTGCGTCTCCGTTGGTTGGATGCAATCTTTCGTGGGTATCTTCTAAGTTGGCTTGGGTATCATCCTCTTCGAAGTCGCTGTCGGACGTGTACCCGTATTCTTCAGTGAAGGAAGGGTGGCCTGAGGGATACGAATCGTCCAGATTTGTAACACGGCTCTCGGCAAAGCCGTCGCTGGGGTCAGCGGACACTAGCGCTAGTACGCGACAGTCGAGTTCAGTTTGCACGACGTTCCAGATATCATCTAGCCAATCCGAACGCACCATTGCTGGAGGGAGACAGGACCCGCTGGAGCAGCGCATTGTTCGCAAGAAGCGGCATGGGCCCATATGCCCGCGACCTATCTGAAGTCCGTCGCGAGAAAGCGTAGTATTTGACGTCTTCGAATGGCTGACCAGTCGTGCTCGCAACCAAGACGGCCTTCAAGGTAAGATCTCGACCTGGCGGGTCCGGTACAGATTTCAGATTTCTCAATGACTTTGGGGTGGACAGTGATCCCATTTCCAGCCGGGCAGTGTAGATATGCAGCGACTGGGGAGGGGGCTCAGAGCACGAGGGAGTGAGAGACGGACAGCTATGCAGCCGGACCCTATCGATGGATTCTAAACGAGGAGTCATATCTGCATACGAAGCAAAGGACATGCGACACCCACGTTGTACCTCACGGCGTGTGATCTTCCTCCCCCCTCGAGAAGATAATTTTTGTTTGCAGGCTAGGATAGACACAGGCAGACTGCGGGTTACTTGGTCAATGTCGACATAAGGCAAAGACATGACGCTCCACGTACCACTAACTGAGACTGTTGCCCGTGCATACAATTCGATTATAATACAGAACAGTAAATGTCCAAAAGTATACAGCAGGACGCCGGCATGCGAATAAACGTAAGGGAGAGCGCCCTTTCGTACGTTCGTGTTGCAGCCATCATATCCGTCAGTCCATACGCGCATTTGGGTTCTATCACCAACGATACTCATCCCGTTCCATCTGAGCCTGGCCATACTCGGGCAGCACAGTCGGATCTGCGTCTTCCTTGAACTTGTAGCGCACTGCAAACCGTCTAAGTCAGTGCCCGCCCCGATGACGCCCGAAACGCAGAATGGATACTCACGGAAGACATGCTCGCCCGCATCGTACGCATACCCAAACGCCTTCTCATCATGCGCCGCCCGCTTCGGCCAACACTGCTCGTGTTCGTCCCAATCATCGTCGCTATCCTCCCCCTCATCCTCCTCATCGTCCATATCATCGTCCTCGCCATCTTCCCTGCGCACCCGGGGCTCCAGCGGAGTCTGATACGCCCACGGGGCGATGCGCGCCCCGCGGTAGTCGTACGTGTTCCCATGGCGGTCCATGTACTCGTTCTCCGTGCCCGCATACAGCGTCGTGTGGCGCGCGTCCCACGTGAGCGTGCGCACGGCGGTGTTCCCCGTCGCGAGCTCGTACACGAGCGCGCGGGCGCGGACGTCCCACGTCATGACGTTCTGGTAGTGGTCGCCTCCAGTGAACACGGCTGCAGCAAAAACGCGCGTCAGACAATGTATCAATGAAGACGGCGACACGGGGGGAAACATACTAGGAATGCCGTCCGGATGGACGAACTCCACCGCCACGCAGAACTCATGGGACCTCCCCGAGTCGATCGTCATGACGGGCAGCGGGTGCCGCACGTCGTACAGCCGCGCATACCCGTCCGCGCACCCAGTCAGGAACACGTTCGCGTCCCCGGCGCTCGTCGAGAACGCGGTCACGTTCCCGCCATGCCCCAGGAAGCGCGCCGCGATCTTGCCGCCCGCCTCCAGGTCAAGCGCGTAGCTCCCGTACTTCTTCGACTTCTCTGAGCTCTCTGCACTAAGCATGTGTCCCGTAGGGGCGTGGTGGTGCCACACCGCGGGCCTCAGGCCCGTCTGCGCGAATGCGACGGTCGTGCTGGGCTTGCTCCCCGTCGAGCGCTCGATCTCGTCGTTGTCGTGGTCGCGCCACACGCCATCGAGGTTGAGCTTCCGGCCGACACGCCGCCCGCCCTCGTGCGTCGCGAGCCCGTCGACATTCCAGATGGCGGCCCCACCCCTGCCCGCCCGCACGATACGCCCGCCCGGAAGAACGGCGACGGGCCCGTCGTACCCGTCGCTGTCCATCGTGTGCACGTTCGTGCCCCGCGCGGGCGTCCAGCCGCCGAACGCGACGTCGCCGCCCCACGCGAAGGTCTTGATGCGGTCCGAGTCCGCGATGAGCGCGAGCCGGTGCGTATTGTCCATCGCGATGTCGTGCGCGACGTCGGCGAGCCCGGGCTCGAGCGCCATGCGGCGGAACCCGCCGTAGGAGCGGATCTCCTCCCCGTCCTCATCCTGGTCGTCGTCTGCGTTTGCAGCAGCCGGTTCATCCAACCGCCTGCGCCGACGAGCGCGAGCGCAGAGCAGTCTGCCGAGATCGCAGCGGAGACGGGGGTCGTAACGTTGTCTGCCGCGACCTCGCAGCGCGCCTGGTAGATTGTGCGCGCGAGCGGGGTGGCATCCGTGGCGGACGACGTGATACCGTCGCGGAACCGCGACAGCCGGGTGGTTTTGGGGTGAGGGTGAGGGCTCTCCGGCCACGGCTTAGGCCGCTGGGCATCGATTGCCGCTTCGAACGCAGCTAATGGTGAAGTTTTGAGTTACATTTAGGGAATTGCAAGTGTGAAACGCACGGTTTGGGGGACCGAGGGCATGGATGAGATGTTTCGCCTCGTCATATAGCGCTAGAACGTCCATAGACATCTGCTTCCCACCTATGTACACGGTGCGAAAGTTAGTATTTACAATGATATCGCGCAAAAATACGACGTACCAGGTAGGTTGATCACGCGGGAGTCCTTCATGAGCTCACTGTCGAGGCAGTGCGCATACGAAGGGAGAAAATCGTAGTCGCCTTGGGTTCCGTAGGCCCAGTTGACGGCTTCGTCGAAGATCTCTGCCGCCCTTTCGATGATCTGCGGCAGGTCGGGCGCATTCGCGTTTTCTGCTTTATGCACGATTGAGGCCATCTTCTTGAGCAGCTCCAGGAAAACTTTGTGGTCTTCATAGTCTTTTTCGCCGATGTGCCGCGCAAGCCGGTCCAAGTGCTGTAGGTAGCGCATGTGGACGAAGAACCGGATACGGAGAGTTTTGAGGAGGGTTAAGAAGAGGACTTGTAGCGTTTACTGGGCTGACGATAGTCAAATTAGTCTTCCTCGTCCGCTGTTCGCAGACACCATAGCATTTGAACAAGCTCTATCACTCACTGCTTTCCTAGCCCCGAGCGAACACCGTTCAATGGATGCCTACCCGAAGACGAGCTTTGCGCGTGGGTATTCTCCGAAGTAGCGTTTTAATCGTAGTGGCAAGTCTATGTCAAGAGCACTAGTGAGACGCGTGAAGGAGCGAAGCCTTCGAGAGGACTAGCGACTGGTTAATGGGGCGCTAACGCGTCAGTCACAGCGTGATGCGACGCGTCAAGACGCGTGGCATAGAGCGCTAAGGAGATCGTGCGCAGCGGAAACGAGCGCTTTGTTGGGTTACTCGGAACTCCCAACTATCCTCGAGGACGTAGTGCACAAGGGGCTGATCGACTCACCTGGAAGCCAGCCTGCGCCGGCATGTCGCTAGCTAACCATTTCCTCTGCTTCTTTCTCTATCACTATCAGACTGTGGCCACAAGCCTTGACACTGGCACTATGGTTTGAACGATAATGGTGTTACGCAACTTGCTTGCATCCAGCAGAACCTCGCTCTGGACAGCCATTGTTATATTTGCTGCCACTGCCGCGAATGGTTCTATGGTGGCGTCCCCCCTCCTCGAGTTCCCATCGACATCCGCCTTGCCCGAGACTCAACGTCAGCGCCCGGCGGGCCGAACACGTCCATCCTTGCGCTCGCAAGTACGTCCTTTCACTCGTGATCGAAGTTGTGCATTCACGAGCCTGACTAATATCGTAGATGCCCCGAACGATCGAGGAGTGGTTTCCTCTAGGTGGCGACGGAAGATCGGGCGACCCGCCTGTGGCAAGGACTGCGGGACTTCTTCAAGGAGCGTGGGTACACTCTGTGGCGCCCTATTGACCTGACCTACGTAGGGCCGCCGCGATACTCAAAGTCCACCTGTAATGACTTTGCCTTCACGCCCCTGCATCTCGGATGGCGAGAGGGCAGTCATTTTAAGTTACTCTCGGAAATAGACTGTCCAGTGGGTGCTCAATTTGCGGTGATAGCACCTCAGACATTGGCTATGCTTCCCAGAACGCGATTCTGCGTGCAGTACGAGCGGTAGATGGCCGGGATGTGATAATTCACATTATATGTGTTGGCTTTGAGGGACAGAGCCAACTAGAAGTACTCAAGTACATGGCGCGGGGGCCTTGCAGCCAAGCGACCCCAAACCATGTTATCCCGCTCTTCGAGCTCTTCGAACTGGAAGACATCACTTTCGGGATATTCTCCAGGGTTGGGATCAGCATGATGGACGCATGGCTCGTGGGCCGCGAACTCGGTGGGCGATGTTATCGACATGGTGCTGCAGTGCCTAGAGGTACGCTCCGGATGACATAGCGCATCGCACTTTTGCTGATGGGTTTGGTCATGAAGGCGCTCGCCTTTTTGCACAGCATGAAGGTCGCCCATCGAGTATGTTCGTCACATTGCAGCAGCGTTTCTGCACGATCACTCACTCCTCCTATCAGGACGCGTTCAAAGACAACTTCCTCGTCCAGTGGCACCCGGGATCTCTCGCCACCAACCAACGCGCGACATCGCGCCCCCGCGTCTTGCTCACTTTGTTCGTCCAGACAAGTTGACGTAGATGCGATGCACAGGGGATAACCATGATGCTGAACGATCCAGGGGACCTGCAGCGCTTCAAGTGCAAAGATAGACAGCATTTGGCAGGGCGTACTAGCCTCGTAGCCTATGTGATGGCGGGCAGAGCTTGAATTCAGGGCACTGGGCACGGTGTCCGGTCAATCGGGGTGGGTGCTATTCTGACGAATTTGGACTGCTGCTCACAATCGTAAATCAACATCCAGGTTGGGCTTAGGTGACCTGTGCTATAGACACATGATGGTTCCTGGAAACCACACTCCCCACTATATCGAACGAGTTACGTTCATTTAATCTAGCCCTGTCACGCATAGCCTGCTGCAGGACATGTCTCATCGGGGGCAGTGTACGACGCACATAAGCTCTGGCACGTCTTACACCGCTAGTTCTTCCCGAGCAACGGATTAGGTTCTGTCTTGGTGAGTAAAGTTTCGATTCGGAGCCATGTGCGGTCCTCAGGGTGCTACTTCAAGCTCTTTCGCGCACAGTGGCTCCGTTGTCCCTCGCAAATTCCCCGTTACCCCCCTCGCACCTCTGCTATGAGCCGGGTATGGGAGATCTACGCTCAACGTCTCGCTTCCCCGGATTGGGGCCGCCCAATGTGGTTTCCGGAGCCTTCCGACCAGTTCGGAGCAGTACACGTTGGCGACGTCGGTTACCTATACGAAGGCCGCTTTCAGTTCCTCTTCAACAGCATGGACCCAGCGGGCAACCCCCGCAATGTGCGCGGAGAGCCTCACGGCTACACGCCCTTCCAACTTCCGCTCAACGCATTTGACCACCAGACTATTCCACCCACAACGCTGATGAGCACGGGACTCCAGACAATAAATGCGAGTATAACGGGCGGCATTGAGTAAGTCCCTTATTTCCCACCTGCATATTTGACAGTGGCATGCGACTGATCTATCATATAGCTCCCAAACTTTACCGCAAGCCAGCGTTTCGGGTGGGACCCAGTACAGCTGCACCGAAGGAAGCGGAGCCCTGCTCATATTGAAGCAACCGGGACACAGGGAGAGCCTCAACGTCAACTGCGAGTCTGCCATCCAGGAATACATTTTACAGCATATGGCGAGCTGGCATACCTTCGCGAAGGAAAAGTTGGGTACCAAGGCCCCGAAGGAGGCCGAAATCATTTTTGTCTCCGGCTGCACCATGACGACTGTCTGGGCGGAGGCGGTATACGAAACCAAGGCCTCGCGCGGAGAACTGCGCGTCTCCACCAGCGGACTTTTCCCTTTCAAACTCTCGTTCTCACTGGGCAAATCCAAACACCAGTCAACCCTCCACGAGCGCCGCGGTCCCCCAAAGCGTGTGTTTGCCATTCCCTGGGTATCTACAGTGATCTCTGCGCTGCTGTCAACCGTATGGAAAGCGGATCAGTGCATTTTCATGAATTATTACACTATGAAGAGGCCGTTTTTCGTACCAAAGGTGATGCGTGCCACGGCGGGGCCACACGAGCTGCCGGATGACGACCCCTCGGGTGGCGATTCAACTGCCCCTGTGGCCGAGATTCCTTCGTCTGCGGACGAATGGGCGCACCACAACGCAGACCGGCCTGAGGTTAGGCATCAAAAACACGGTCGTACAGGGAGGGGCGCTGATGCTGTATACTCTCCTTCCAATTAGCGTGGGTGTATCGTGGAGCAAATCATGGACTACATACTTCAAGTGCGTCTTCATCCCGCCGCCCTCCTCGTGCGGTACGGTGTCTCTTACCCCCTTCTATAGCATTCAGACGCGAACGTAGCGTTTGCATCGGATCGAGATGTAGCCATGTTCTATAAAATTCAAGTACGTCGCCTTAGCCTCTTTCAGCATTTTCCTAGCTTGACAAATTCACGAACTACAGAGCGCGACAGAATCTCATCAGCAGGACGTCAAGAACGTACTTCGGAGATCAGGAGTGAAGGTTGTCGTGAAGAACGGCAGTATGTGTCTAGTCCTTTACCTCCGGTGTTGTACACGTGCTCATGTTACTGCGGACAAGTCGGCGTTCTTTCTGAAAACAAATCAGTGACGCCAGACGCGCACGGTGCTCTGGAAGGGAATCCTACCGACGATGCGAACGTTATTCCTGAGCTCAGGGAACCAGACGCCGCTTCCGCATCATCTACCTCCGGTACCTCTGCAGGGTCGTCCCCCATGTCTGACGCCAGTGCTTCATCCCGGGTGGAGGACCCGTTGCTTTCTACGCACAAGAATACTTTGCAAAGTATGTATGATTATTGCATGATTGGAAGTGAAAGACTGCTCATGCTGACTTGTTACGTCCAAATCGGCGATAATAGACCAACGTATTGTACAACCTGGCAATAAGCTCCGACGACTCACAACCAGATTACTCGGGAATATGAAGAGAGCAAACCACCGCAGGAGATCCCTCTGATGAGTTATGTGCTTACACCGACTGAAATCACGTTTGGTACGTCGCGCCGACACGCCTACCGTAATTACCATCTGACCGACCCGGCCGCTATAGTCAATGATATTGGGTGGGGCCCAGGCTCCTTCCAGGAACTATGTTACTTACGTTCACGATCCGGGAAGTGATACTTACGACGGACCGCACACTACGGAATCTACTCGCATTGTGGTTTATCATTCAAAGTGGTTGTAATAGCTGGCATGCATATAGTATCGTTATAATTAGGATGTACAGCCAGTGGTTCACATAGACGTAGATCTAGATAGAAGGACTGTATACCAGGACGTACCCGTTCCAGACGCTTACTCGTCCACCCGCTTTGTCAAATAATCTATACACGGTCCTCTTGTAGCTTGTACCGGACCGAGACCTCTTCATCAAAGCAGTCAAGCAGACGCACGACAGGTCTATACGGCCTGTGGCAAATTCACGGGCTGCACAGCATGAACGTCGCCCATCGAGTACGTTCTTCAAGTTCCGAGCCTCGTCAAACAGACTATACACGTACCCGACCGGTGCCCACTCATCCATGCATTCAGGCGGAAGCACGATAATATATACAACGCCAGGGTCGTCGCCCCTGCGTATGTTACAGTACAATGTTACTACATCATAGTACAGATTACAAGAAATACCACAGCCTGACGCTAGCAAACGAGAGGAAAGTCAGGAACGGCGCTTTGCCTCGCGCAGTGATATTGCAGCTTGTGTGTTCTTGAATGAGCCAGAGCCAGAGGTGCGCATACCTGCGTCGAGTCCATCCGTTCACCAACCCCCGGCATATCCATACTCCTCCCGAGCCTGGCCATACTCAGGCAACACCGTCGGGTCCGCGTCCTCCTTGAACCGGTAGCGCACTGCATACATCCGCCGTGCTCAGTGATCGCGTCCAAAATACCTAAAATGTAGATAAGGCACTCACGAAAGACATGATCCCCCGCGTCGTACGCGTACCCGAACGCCTTCTCGTCATGCGGCGCCCGCTTCGGCCAGCAGTGTTCGCCATCCGATTCCTCCGCGCTGTCGTACCCGTCCGCCCCCGCCTCACCGCCCGCGTCCGCGTCCGCCTCACCACGCTCCCCAGGGTGCCGCTCCGCCCACCGCGGGATGTGCGCGCCGCGATAGTCATACGTTCCCCCGAGGCGGTCCCTGTAGTCGCACTCCGTGCCCGCATACAGTGTCGCGCGGCGGTCGTCCCACGCGAGCGTGTGCACGGCGGTGTTCCCCGTCGAAAGCTCGTACACGAGCGCGCGCGCGCGGATGTCCCACGTCTTGATGCTCTGGGAACGGCAGCCCCCTGTGAAAATGGCTACAAAGAGAACACATGTTAGCAGAGGAGTATCGGTGAGAGATGTTGGGAGCGGAAGCACGTACTGGGAATCCCATCCGGGTGGACGAGCGCCGCGGCCTCGCAGAACTCGCTTGATTTGCCCGAATCGATCGTCATGACCGGGAGCGGGTGCCGCACGTCATACAAACGCGCATACCCGTCCGCGCACGCCGTCAAGAACGCATTCGCATCCCCAGTGCTCGTCGAAAAATCGTTCACGTTCCCCCCATGGCCCAGAAAACGCGACGCGATCTTCCCGCCCGCCTCCAAGTCGAGCGCGTAGCACCCATACTTCTCCGACCTGTGCGAGTTCTCCGCGCTCAGTAGGTGCCCGCTCGGCGCGTGCAGATGCCACCCCGCGGGAGTGAGGCCCTTCTGGGCGAACTTGACAGTCGTGCTCGGGGCACTGCCCGTCGACCGCTCGATCTCGCCGCCGTCGTCGCGCCATGAGTCCTCGACCTTGAACTTCCCGCGTCCGACACGCCGCCCGCCGCGGTGCGTCTCGAGCGTGCTGAGGTTCCAGAGCGCCGCGCCGCCCTTGCCGGCGCGCACGATGCGGCCGCCTGGGAGCACGGCGATGGGGCCCTCGTACTTCTTGCTGTTCATGGTGTGCACATTGTCGCCGCGAGCGGGTGTCCAGCCGCCGAACGCGACGTCGCCTCCCCATGAGAAGGTCTTGATGCGGTGTGTGTCGGCGATCAGCGCGAGCCTGTTTGGGGTATCGACCGCGACCTGGTATGCGACCTCGGACAGGCCGGGCTCGAGCGCCATGTAGCGGAACCCAGAGTCAGAGGAGCAGATCCTTGCCCCGGCGTCATCGTCATCATCGTCATCTTCATCCTCGTAGTCGTCGTCATCTTCATCATCATTGTCCTCAACCCCGTCACTGACCTGCTCATCATCCTCCGCGTCATCCTCTCTGTCAACTCGAACAGTACCCGGAGTCTGTTCATCCAGGAGGAATATGCTCAACATAGGATCACGGTCTTTATACCCGCCTGCACCGATGAGCGCGAGCGCAGAGGCATCGGCAGCGATCGCGGCGGAGACGGGGCACGAGATGGGTTCCGCCGCAACCTCGCAGCGCGCCTGATAGATCGTACGAGCCAGTGGAGAGGCATCCGTAACGGATGTCGTGATGCCCTCGCGGAACCGTGAGAGACGGGTGGTCTTGGGGTGAGGATGAGGGGTATCTGGCCACGCCTTTGGCCGCTGGGAATTGATCAATCCGGGGAGTGGATCTGGGAGCGTTGTAAGGGCAGAATGTAGGGTGTTGTAACTGGGATACTTACTGAAGCCACCGAGCATCGAGGAGAGTAAGCCTGTCATCGTTTCGAGGACAGGTAAGATCTCAGTAGGTATTTCGCCAACCCCTGTGATCGCTTAGCATCAGCACCTATATGTATCATAGGGGGGAAAGACGTACAGGGTAGGGTAATAACATGGGAGTCCTTTAATAGCGGACTCTCCGACGAGTCTGCGAACGAAGGGAGATAGTCGAATCCGCCGTCAAGAGAGTAAGCCCAGTAGACAGCCTCGTCGAACATCTCTGCGGCCTTTTCGACAATCTCCGGTAGGTCAGGTGCGTGCGCGTTGTCGGCCTCGCGAACGACTGCGATGATGCGTTTCAGTAGCTTGATGAAAGCTTCATGTTCGTCATTCGCTCCCTGGCCTACATCTACCGAAAGCCGCTCCAGGCGCTCCAGGTAGGATGGCATGGTACAAGGAGTCGCGGTACTCAGTGAGAAGTGGTTGTTGGATGAGAAGAGCCTTTGTCTTCAGAACTCCTCTAGAAAAAACGCGTAAGCAACAACCCGATTCTCCTTGTAGGCGTTCACTCCGCGGCAGTGGGAGGTGAGGCCGAAAACCTCGACTGACCGGTGAGCTGACGTCGACTACTCAGTGGCTCTTGAACCTTTGATACACACCGAGGGTGTTGACGCGCACCGAGCGTTTCTGCGGGGGCAGTAGGAGACTCCTGTGGGGGAAAGATCAAGGTAGGTCGAAGAAGTGCTGTTGGGGATTTACTACTGCTTTTGTGCGAGTCAGTTGATGCGACACATCTCTTTGTTCTCTTAACGCGGTATCTTCTAGACCACTTCTAGACTAAGACTATCTTTCTCTCTGGAGCCACCGGCGCTTCGGGCGCTTCGGGTATGAGGCTTGCGGGTTGCCAACACCAAGTACCGCAAGCACGGGAGTGACCAGCCCCCAGCGCAATCATCTCGAACGCGAAGGTCAACTTCCTTCGTGCGTTAATATTACAGCCTTTATGTTCATCAAGTTTCAGCGAGTCTTGCAGGTACGCACACCTGTGTCGTCCGTCCTCTCACCAACCACCGCGTTCCATGTAGACCTGACCGTACCGAGGAACAACTGTCGGATCCGCATCTTCCTTGAACTGGTAGCGCACTGCAAGAATCGCCCCTGATCAGTTCATGTCGGGTTGGAAACGCAGACACATGACTCACGAAAGACGTGCTCGCCTGCATCGTACGCATACCCGAAAGCCTTCTCGTTGTGCGCCGCCTTCTTCGGCCAGAAGTGCTCATCATCCGACTCCTCCGCGCTATCGTAGTCGTCGTCGTCCATCTCGTAGTCCTCGTCTCCTTCACCTGGTGGCGTGTGCTCAGGCTCGGGAGGGTCCCTGGCCCAGCGGGGGAGGTGCGCGCCACGGTAGCCGCGCGTGTTTCCGCGGTAGTCCATGTACTCGCACTCCGTCCCCGCATACAACGTAGAGCGGCGGTCGTCCCACGTGAGCGTGTGCACGGCGGTGTTCCCCGTCGCGAGCTCGTACACGAGCGCGTGCGCACGGATGTCCCACATCTTGACGTTCTGGCTCTGGCCGCCTCCGGTGAAAACGGCTACACAGAGAACCGCCGTCAGAGGGGTTTACTGGCAAACTCTAATGACAAAACGACGTACCTGGAATACCGTCCGGGTGGACGAGCGCCGCTCCCCTGCATAACTCGCGTCCCTCGCGTTCCTCGCCGTACCCACTCGAGCCTACCGTCGCCACCGGCTTCGGGTGACGTACATCGTACAAACGCGCGTACCCGTCCGCACACGCGGTCACGAACATATTGGCGTCCCCAGCGCTCGTCGAGAACGCGTTGACGTTTCCACCGTAGCGACCCTCAAAACTGATTGTGATCTTCCCGCCCCCCTCCAGGTCGAGCAGGTAGCACCCGCCACCCCCAGAACAGAGCATATATCCGGTCGGCGTGTGCAACTGCCACACCGAAGGTGAGTAGCCTGCCTCCGCAAACGCGACGGTCGTGGAAGGGGGACTGCCTGTGGAACGTTCCGTCCCGCTCCCGCCGTCGTCACGGCACGAGTCCTCGAAGGTGATTTTCACGCTACCAGGACCAACGCGCCTGCCGCCCTGGTGCGTCTCGAGTGTGTCGAGGTCCCAGACCGCCACTCCGGCAGAGCCAGCGCGCGCGATGCGACCGCCGGGGAGTGCGGCGACGGGTCCGCTGTACTTGCCGCTGTTCATGGTGTGCACATTGGCGCCGCGAGGGGGCGTCCAGCCGCCGAACGCGACGTCGCTGCTCCATGCGAACGACTTGATGCGAGTTTTATCGGCGATGAGCGCGAGCTTGTGCGCGGTATCCACCGCCACTTCGTCGCCGTCCTCGAGACCGGGATCGAGTGCCATGTAGCGAAATCCACCTGAGTCGCTGATACTCTGCCCTTTCTTGCCGTTTTCATCGGCGCCTTTCTGTTCGTCGAGGAAGTAAATGGTGAGGTTAGAGTTGCCGTTACTGCACCCGCCTGCACCAACGACTGCGAGCGTAGAGGCATCGGTGGAGATCGCGGCGGAGAGGGGACACGCCACGGTGTCTGCTGCCACTTCACAGCGTGCCTGGTAGATCGTGCGTGCGAGCGGGGTCGCGTCTGTAGCGGAGGTCGTGATGCTCTCGCGGAACAGGGATAGGCGAGTAGTCTTGGGGTGAGGATGGACGGTGTCCGGCCACTCCTTCGGCTGCTGCTCATCGTGCTCCGCATCGAATCCAGCTAAGAGCATTATAAGCACGCATAGAGGGCACTAAAGCTGTAGCACGCACAGTTTCCAACGTTGCGCCGGTTCATCTTCCCTCTCCCTGTACACAGATTGCGAAAGTAAGCATCCGCATATACCGCACAATAAGCGATGTACCAAGTATGGCGATAACAAGGACGCGTTTTTTGGATTCTACGAAAGAAAATCGTCAGAAAAAAACACGCCAGGACAGTCGCTCGCCCACGTCCCAGCCTGCGACCAGGCCGTGGGGGTAGGGCCAAAAAAACGACTCACCAGTATGTCGACACGAGCTAGTGATTCCCCAATACACACCTAGGTGTCTCGTCGCGTACGTAACGGTTTTACAGAGGCAGTGGGGGACTCCTGGAGGTAGAAGATCAAGGCAGGTCGAAGAAGTGTGGGCGAAACTCTACTGCTGCTTTTGTGTCAGCCTGGTGATGTGACGCGTCTCAACGCGGTACCTCTATTTCTCTCTTCGGAGTCGCTCTCACGTGCCGCCAGTATATTGGATGTACTCGGACGGGCCCAGCACCTACTGCAGGATAGGCCTCGCGAAAGAGCTTGCAGCTCCAAGCGAGCTCATCTCAGATGTGAGGTGCAATGTTAAACTGATTAAGGCTGTGGTTCACCATAGACGTTCTACTGCAGCTGAATTAGTACAGACTTGCGCCTTTGTCACTGACTGGAGAACATACCTATATATCCTCTGCGCTTCGTGAACACTAGGTCCGAACCTCTAGGCCGCCGCGGCGGTAGAGGGAACCGCCGCCTCGGGCTCCTTTGCAACCTCAGGTTCCTCCGCGACCTCAGCAGTTACAAGCGCAGCCACTTCTTCCTTCGCGACTTCAGCAGCCACAACCACAGGCGCAGACACTTCCTTCTTCGCGCCTTCCAGCTCCAGCGCACACTTCACATCCCACTCCCCCACGCCCACCTTCGCGCCCGCCTCGCGCCACTTCTCCCACAGGCGCTCTCTCCTTTCCGCGCACATGCGCACGAGCGGCTCCCAGTAGCGTTCGTGCTTGTACTCGACGTGCGCGGACCCGCCCCACTCGGCAATGAGCTCTTCGGGCGGGAAGAGGCCCTCGGCGAGGCAGTTCGGGTTGAAGCGCAGCTTGGGGCGCGTGAGCGGGTCGATGAAGGGCGTGATGAGCCTGAAGAAGGCGTTCACGAGGAAGGGCACGTTCACGACGAGCGCGCGGCCGAGCCGTTCAGGGTCTGCGGGAGAGGGATATGTGTAAGCAGTGCGGGTGAGAGGCCGCGGGAGGAGGTCGTACAGTGGGTTTGAAGGATGTTGAGCACCTAGTACGGCAGCAATGAGTTAGCCTTACACGATTTGTGAGAGCGATTGACATACCGTTCGTGCCTGACCAAGGGAAGGGTTCTTCGCGCGGTCAGCAAAGTCTACCATGAGTGCGAGCGTCCTAAGAGGTTGTGGGTGAGTATCGACCCAACATGTACACATTGCATAACTTACTCTATGCCCGGACCCATCAACTCTGTGAGACGCTCCAGCGCCCAAACAACATAGTGCACTTGACGAATGCTCTCCTCCGTGTTCTGTTTGCTAGGGCGGAGGTATATCGCTGGACGCTTGTCAGAGTCGTACCCCCAAATCATCATCTTGCCGGTGAGGGCCTGTAAATATACATATCAGAAAATGGGAGGCGCGTTATAGACGATACAATGCTGACCTCTGGTTCAACATACGACGCCGTAATGAGCTCATACAAACCGTACTCGCGCCGCCACTTCAAGGTCTCCTCCAGCCGCTTGGTCGCAGCCTGTGCACTCGTCCATTTGACGGCACGAAGGAACCTGAAACAGTGTAAGCACTCATGCTTCTTCGAGATACGGGAGGCAGCATGTTCTATCCAGCGCGTGATTGCGTACCGTAGAAGACACTCGCAAGACTAGGGTAATTGAGTAAGATGCACTGACCCAAGATGCATCGCTGTAGCCTCGACATACCAGCCAGAACTTCTCCTGCTCTGTCAAAGCTCCATTCTCCGCACCAGGAAGCACATAGTCGGCCTTCTCAAAGTGCTTCAAGACCTCATCGTACAGTTTCTGCTGTGCGTCTGTAAGCGTGAGCTGGGGAGGCAGCACAGCGGGGTCCACGGGTATATGGGGCGGCGGGCGAGCCTCGAAGATGGTGTCTGCCATGGTATCCAGAGCCAAGTTCTAGTCCAGAGTATACAAGAACCGTGCAGAGGCCGGCCTGTCGTGGCAAGGCGAGAGAGTAGTGGTGGCACGAAGCAGCAGGAAGCACATTTTGGCAGATGAGCGCCGCGCCGAGTCGGAGGAGTCCGCGCGCAGGGTCGCGTCACCGGCACGTGGACGTGTACGCGCACGGCCATGGGCGGGCCCCTTATCCGAGCCTCCGAGGTCCTCCTCCTCATCCTCCACACCGTCTCTCATGAGCTCCCGGCGCAGGCAATGGCGAGCAAGGAGGCAAGGCTGAGAGCGATCTCGCTGTACAAGGAACTCCATAGGCTTGGCCGCGAATACCCCGACCCTGCGTACGTATCTTCCTCCGGGTCTCACACGACCAAATATTCTAAGCTAGTGAGCTGACGCTGTATACGGCCTATGCAGGTACAACTTCCACAAGAAGTTGCGTGGGCTGTACGAGAGTGCGTCGCAAACTTATGCCGAATGTCACCCTGCTGAATGACGGGCCCTCGCAACAGAGAACAGGAATCTCACCGACCCGGAGGAGATAGAGAAGGCGATCAAGCTGGGCGAATACATTCGAAACGGTACGTACCGATCTCATCTTCCAGGGAGCCTACACCATAGCTCTGCCTACCAGAAACCCTTGCTCTGTACTCGCTGCGCAAATACCGCCATCTGAAACGGATGTACCCGCAAGAGTCCCCCGCCGAGCCGCTTCCATGACCCTCAGAAGAGGCGTTTGGCTTTCTATTTCCTCAATTATGGGGGGTCGCCTTGTGTATGATTATGCAAATTAACTTGCACGCAATATTCCTCCCACTGGTATTTGAGCGAACATTGTTTTATGCCAAAAGGTGGGGACAGCGTCTAGCTGAAGCTTAACGGCAGCCACTCGCTTATAAGAATCTTGGTCCTGTACCACGACCGCGGTCGCCACCGCCTTCCACACAATTGCGCTATACTCTTGACTCAATGCAGCATGGTGCCCCAGCAGACGTCTTTCTACCTCAGATGTACGAAGAGGTGAGTAACTTCATAATACTTCGCTGCGCAGTGGGAACATATTCACCATTCTTTCAGTCTGATCATGAGGAACTATTCACCCACGAAGCACTTCTCAACGATATGAGCAACATCGTATTTCGAGACAGCGACGAAGAAACTACCCAAGGAGAAGAAGTCGAACTTCAAAGTGGGCCTCTCGACGACGCCTGGAAGCTCTGTACTAGTATCACCCCACGCGTCATTACATCATCCAACTCCCTCTCGCCCGAGATACTCGCCCTCATATTCGGGTCCACCGTCGGTGCTGTTCCCGCGCTCAATTCCCATCTGATTCGCGTCACGCACGTCTGTCGATACTGGCGCGATGTAGCGCTACACACTCCTGCTCTCTGGACGCACATCGCCCTCCTGCACCCGGACGCGATCAATGCTTTCCTGGAGCGCTCTCAGGCCCTGCCTCTAAGCATACACCTCCACATGAACCCCAGGCCAAACCCGGCATCCCCAGAAGGCATACATACCGACGCGCTTCGTGCGCTCCTCACAGGGTGCCCCCGCACCCTCTGCCTCAAGATCAACCATCTCTCTTCAGAAGGCTATGATCTAGTCATGAAGAGGATCGCCAGGGGCGCCCCGACGCTCGAGGTGCTCTCGATTGCAAAGCGCACGATCGGCACCGGCAGCATGCTCGACCACGCCCCCGACGACGTCGACGGCCTGCCGAGGCTGCGGTCGCTGAAGCTCCGTGGCGAGCCCTTGCCGTGGCTCCCGACATGGCCCAACGCGCTGACGGAGATCGACCTCGTGAGCGCAGTGCACGACGCACCCGCGCTGCTGGACCTGCTGGAACGCAGCCCTGCCCTTGAGCACGTAACCGTTCGCGGCTTCTTTAACGCGGTGGTGGCGGAAGATCCACACGAGGTCACCCTCGCGCACCTCAAGACCCTCCGGTTGCATAGCTTCTCCATTCCAGGTATCGCTACTCTCCTCCCCAGCCTCGACCTCCCGTCGCAGCACACGAACATCTCGCTCGGCGACCCGAAGTCGCGCGGAGGGGCGTTCGCAGACCTCATCCCCATGCACAGCGAGTCCGACCCACTCCCATGGGCGGCTCTGCGGGGCCTTAAGCGCATCCAACTCCAGTGGGACCAACACGAGTATCAGACTCTGTGCGCCTACCGCAGCGGCGATCTCGCCGACCCCGCCACGCCCGCCCTGCGCGTCCAAGCCTTCGGGGGCGAGTGGGCCATGGACGAGCGGTTCTTCGTCAACTGGCCGATCGACGCGTCGCGTGTCGAGACCCTCGATATCCACGGTGACCGCTCCGCCGTGGCGTCGCTGGATCGCTGGCGGGCCATGTTGCTGTCGGTCCCGGCCCTGAAGACGCTCCGCGTGCGGGCGCTGGACGGCGACTTGCAAGACGTTCTCCGCGCCCTCGCGCCCGAGGCGGACCCGCTCCTGTGTCCCCGGCTGGAGACGCTCATCTTAGCGAGGGTGAGCGCTGCGCAGGACGCTGCAGATTCGTTGGTGGATGCAGTGTCCTTGGGCCGATCGCCCGCGATGGGAGGATGTCTGACGACGGTCACGGTCGAGATGCCTACGATTGAGCCTGCTGTGGCCGACGCTTGGCTAGGGTCCGTGTGTGAAGATGGCTAGTGCGGGACTCGGCCGACCTGCCCCGCCCTCCGAAGCTCTGTCTGCCCGCGCTCATTCACCTCGAAGCTCGAAGCTCCGTATCCCATGCTGCACACTTCCGCCATATTTCCCGCGCTATCAATACTTACATTGGCGGTCGTCTTTCGCCGCGACACTTACAATTCACGAGGATAAGGCAGGTCATCAGAGTCAGAGGGTGAGCATAGAGTTCGAGATCACTCGCAAGCTAGGTTGCAATCGCATTGCACTAGGCAGTGAGCAAACGCCCACGGAGCATCGCGCTGAACATATTTCTGTATGAATAGGGCGGACCACGCCACAGCTCATGTCGTGCTACTAGCAAGAACACTATCAACATGGTAACCACATCGCCCCCGAATCAGCCACGACCCTCAACATGTAACCTGTGTACTTCATGTCAAGTTCGCGCCTATTATTTCCGAGCCGCGACAACGGGACTAGTGAAGACGCCAGAGTCAGCGTCTCACAACATGGGCGTCGCGCACTATGCCATATAATCACATGCAGCACATTGCGCAGGACTGCGTCTTCCGGTGTTATGGGCTCACCCATGAAACTAACCTAATCTACCGCGCTTGGTACGTAACTTATCATCCTGTCCTTTCCGGGGAATCTGCTTTCTATTCCCCCACGAACATCGAGGCGGCTTCATGTCCAGCAGGAATTCTCGTTCGCAGTAAGTGACTTCACCCATAACACGGTCGACGATGTTAATTCAAGTACTCGTAGGTCGATATTCGAGTCGGATCTTAGCCAACTCACAGTGGACATACGGTATCAGGCCATATTGACGTCGATGGCATGTGCGTATCACCGGGCTTTGCTTTTGCGCCAATGACCATGTCTCAAGATTAGCAGGTATCCTGTACTACGATTACTTCCTCACTCTCAAGAACGAGATTGCTCTCGTGTGGCATTCCCCCCGCAGCTTTTCCAAGATATTCTTTTTGATAATTCGATATGGGTTCCTGCTCGACACCACACTCGTCCTCTTCTACACCCTGCGAATTACTTCTGACTCCGGGCCTACCTTGACGGCCAGTAGGTATATGGCGCAGAGCTTCTACAACGTAACACAGATGCTGAACCAAGATCCAAGTTGTAAAGCTCTGTACGACGCCGCGACAATCATCCAGGTTTCAAGCTTCGTTGCCGTCTCTGGCAAGTATTTGCGGCAAGTCTGCGTATGGTCATTCTTACGACTTTATTTCAGCATTTGTCGCCCTCCGTATATCCGCTCTGTGGTCGCACAACTGGCCTCTGGGTCTCTCCCTGTTCGCAATAGGCTTATTCACGCCGTCCATCACGATACCGGCAAGTCGTCTCTCCTTGATATTCATTTTCACATTCCTGATGCGACACGAATAGATACTGGGCTTCGAACTCGACATGGTTCCTGCACTGTGGCCCATGTCGCCTTGCGTCCAGACTGTCATTGATGTGAAACAAGATCCACTGATACCTCTAGAGTAAGTCTCCGTCAGCATCCTCATATGCGCAACCACCCTAATGAGTCTCGGAATATCCAGAATCTACGATTGTGAGCAGCACGCTGTTCCCACCGCCCTCCCGCTCTCTGATGCCGTACAGTCCCGGTAGCCGCGTCGGCCGTCAGCATCGCATACGAGTTCCTTTGCCTCACATTGACGGTCGTCAAAACTGTTGTCGCATACCGGGTCCAGCGGAAGATGGGGATGGAGACCACTCTCAGCGGGTTATTGCTCCGAGATGGCGAGTGGCAACCATTTATCGCTTCACAATGCGCATGCTCACCCGGACACGCTTCATGCGTAGGATCACTCTATTTCGCGTGAGCACCTACATACCTGTATTCTCGCGCTTGACTGAACGTTTTCTATACCAGAGTGCTTACGGGCTTGGGCATCTTCAGCGTCGTAGCCGCTTCAGTGAGTCCGGCTATTCTGCACGTCCCGTAACCTTGTTCACCGATTTTTAACTGCAGATTCCCGAAAGCATCGTACGTTAACTTCTCAGTGTTCTCGTCACCGCGTACGTTCCTGACAGAAAATGTAGCTGCCCGTCGATATCGGCGTCATATTCGGGAGAGTGTAAGTGTCCAAGTCGCACTCCGGACTTCGCGCGCGCTGACAAAGCTGGCGTCATTGCAATCACAGTTTCGTGCCCGTCCTAACGACTCGCTTCATTGTCAACCTTTACCAGACCGGGCGGCACTCTTCGAGGGTGGATATCGATACCGGTACCCTCAGCCTTTGGAGCTTCCACGTCGCGCAGGAGAACGGCGCCGTGTCTACGCTGGGACTTAGTTCGCCGTCCACCGTCATCACTCTTGGTCCTGTTGTACGCTGAGGAATCAGGATGCAAGGTTCAAACCTACTTGTGGCTCCGATGAGTGCGCAGCGGCGGATGACACGCACTCAATGAACACTGTCCGCGGTGGTGCATCAGGAAAAACCTCCATCGCTAACGAGCGTTAATTAGTATTTACGGCCAAATAAACTAGATAATCACCAACTCACCTTGATCATTCTGTCCGAAGTCGTCGGACTGGTTTCCTTCTATCGCAGGCGGACGCTATAGCATCTGGCAACATATCTAGCTCACAGAAAACTTCAAGAAGGATGCAATGAGCACGGTTGTGCGTGTTCTCGGGGAACCAGAGACGCACCGATTTCGTCCAAGTCCGTCCGTGTTTGCCCTAAACTCTGGCGCCAAACTTCAGTCGCCTTTATGCCTGCGCCGCGCTCCCCCGGCGTCTATGCATCTTGACCTCGGACCACTACCTGCTTCTTTTTATATGTGCTGCTTACTATGTTATGGCTAGTCTTCGGTCTCGATAGGTGGCTTCTCGTGTACGCTCTGCTCTGCTATGCGACCTAAACCACCTCTAGCTATCAGAGCTTGTGGCTCGCCGTCGCTCTTCTTTCCCGGCGGTCTTTCGGGAAAACAAATAAGGTATGTGTACTTCCGTTTGCATTACTGGATGTGCCAGTCAACTGGCATACGAAGTAAGCTTCACATCTCCTTTCTTACAATTGAGCTGGCGGCTTGTACCAGTTTGTGGGTCCACACGGCACCGTCGGCGCATTGCGATGCTCTTAAGTCGCCTGTCAACGTCCGTGTTCTTCTCTTTCCGACTAGAGCGCGACCATTGTCTTTACTCAGGTGCGCATTTTCATTTTTGCCCTACAGATCCTCCGTGATTTGAAAGGTAGGCGGTCTTTTGCTCGTCCTGTAGAGCTACATCTGTATGTCTTTACCATAGTGCAATATATTTCATTTTGCGTGATCTTTCGGGTGTAACGATCAGAATAAGGAGAAAGATATAAAGCTACCGCCGCGTTCATTGTCAACTAATCGAGCTAAGCCGCGCTCATCACGCCCTCATAAAAGCCGGACCTTGCTTTTTAAGCTAAACGGCTATTCCCGCTTATTAGCACTCATTAGCCCTCGTTATGGATGGAGGTTTTTCCTGATGTGTTATCGGCTTCTATCGTCCATCTGTCAACATGCCATCTAATGAGATTGCGTTTCAGTGACAGCTCTGCTTCCTAAAACGCAAAGGTGATATCCGTTACCAGTAGGCAACAGAGTTATCGAGCGCGATGCGATGCCTCCACTCCCCGATGCACTGATGCACTTTAACTATCGACGTGCATTTATACAGAACCCCAAGACACCCATCGGCTATCTCAACCAACACCCCCTTCACTCCTGCCCGTTTCATTGCGACGTAGGCTCAATGTCGAGCGACGATACTTCTCTTAGCCAGTGGATGTGAGTATCACCAGTGATCCGCCCTAACGGCCGGACTCTGTGCTCACCCATACCGTCAGACCAGTTCTTGAGGATACAGAATTTCTAGACGGACGGGCGAACGCCATCAAAACAGTGCTTGCCAGTACAGGTAATACGGATTTTGCAAATTCTCTGGTAGCTTGCTTTGACATTTACTGTCGTGGCGCTCATGCGATAGCTTTACTATACTATGACTTCATTTTGACCTTGCCAGACGAAATTCGACTAGCTTGGCGGGCACCTCGACGACTTGCAGCCGTATTTTTCCTTCTTGTGCGGTACCTTGCGCTGGTCAACATGTCACTGGCCGCCATCATCGAGACTCCTGAGAACCCCATGTCCCCGTTCATCCTCACGGATAGAAGGTAACATTAGCCGCCTTCCCAATAGCCTTCCCACCGCTGAAAATATACATTAGCTGCCAAGTATTAGTCAAAGCAGCAATGACAACACACATTCTCCTGAGTGCGGCCGTTTCTGGTGCGTCTATGCTGGCACACACCAAACTTTAGAGGGACTAATAACATACGTCGCCGGTTTCTAGCCTTCATTGCTGCTCGCATCATGGCATTATGGTCACGGAACTGGTATCTTGGTGCGGTCCTATTCCTTGCAGGCCTAGTGAATTGGTCACCCTTCGTGGAGGCAGGTTTGACTCTCTTGTGATCGTGCAGTGGGGACTTCCTAACGAACATTCCCTCAGTATGAGCTAGTTGGATTTCTTGTCACATCCGCGCCATGGCCGCTACATCCGTGTATAGCAAAGACAATGCAGCCGGTGTCAGTTGAATTAGTATCGTGAGTTCACTTACATGATTCCATTAAACTCTTGTATCACACTGATCCGGCGCCGCTCAGGGTATACAGTGAGTCGCATCGTCATGTCGGACTCAGTGCCGGGTGCATATCGAACTTGAACTCACGCAATGCTGTATTAGTCCCAGCCGCCCTCTCTGCAGTAAACCTGGCATATGAGACAACATGTCTTGTGCTTACCATCATCAAGACTATCGGCCTGCACCGAACTTTGTCGGGGCTGGGGCAAAAAACATACTTGACACATTTACTACTTCGCGACGGTAAGTCGCTGCACGCTCGAGCCCGGAGCATTGAAGTCCCTAGTCTCACGATCACGCAGGTTCCTTATATTTCGGGTGCGTAACGTAAACGGTAATTCTATTTGCGTACTCAAGTGTTCCTGCCAAACACTACAGGGTCATGACCATCCTCGGTGTTCTCAACATCTTGAATGCGACGGTATGTTACACAGCTTTATCATCTTGTTTAATGACCGACTGAATAGCTTTCAGGTCGACGATGTAATTAATTAACCAAGCCGTGCATGCCTTCTCTCTCATCGCTTGCATTTAGTTTGATATTGGCTCAGCCCTCAGCGAAGCGTTTAGCAGGAGGTAAGAAAGTTCCTCCGCATGCCTACCTGTGCTGTGTGGACTAACTGGTGACTTGCCAGCCTCGTCCCGATGCTCACATGTCGCTTTATCGCCAACCTCCGCGACGTCAGCAGCCTGCAGGAGCCGACGTCCGCAGGCGAGCACAATCCGGCATCGACTGTGCAGTTCAATCCGGCATCAACGCGGCTGTTTGATTCCGTTGCGGGGCCCCTAGGCTTGGTAGAAAACGAATCTATGGACGACGGTAGCGGTGAATGGCCCGAAGTACCATCCGAGCCACAGAGGCAATCTTGAAACATGTTGAGCATCGAACCCACCACCCTAGTACCAGGGAAAGTGTAGGTGTCTAAATCTTCAGGCAGGGCTTTGCGCACGCTGACAGCCGTCAAAATTCATCATAGCTCGGTGCATATCTTGAGGACGCGCTTTACGAGACTGTGCTCTGGATTGGGCATCCGTATCGGTTTTTTTGTCACGCGGCAGCGCCCGAGCAGCGCCGTCTCTTCGCTGAAATCAACTTCTCTTTGACCTCCATATCTCCTGTTCTCGATGCAACGTCAAAAAGCTAGCTCTAACTCGGCAGCAGCTTGATAGAGCCGTCCCGATAACTGCGCAACACGTGTGCGGACGGCTCACTTAACTTTGGCATTCATTCACCGACCGCAGCCAGCTCGCCTCTTCGCATCTTCCATCTGTCAACATATCGTCCTGTGCGCTGTAATATCAATGCAAACACCCTCCAGAAAGCAGAGGTAATTTGAGCGTCTTGCGATAGAAGACAGCAGAAGTCAGCTGGGCAGTGTCGTGCATGCGGCCCCGCTCCCAGATGCGTTGATGCCGTTTCTCACCCAATCTTCAATCATGTACAGGCCCCGGGAGCCCCATCACTTATCTTGGTCAACATTCCTGTGACTGAAGACCGATTCTCCAGCTCCCTCGAACTCGGTTATTGTCAGCTCAATGCTGAACGAAGGCGACAATCTCGGATTTTGGCTGTGAGTACGCACAGCATCTTATGGTAAGGCGCACTTCGCTCATTGGCTTCATTACAGACCTCAGTTAGAGGACTTCTCACCATCCGCCCTCGACGACCCCGCCCCGCCCGCCCTGCGCGTCCAAGCCTTCGGGGGCGAGTGGGCCATGGACGAGCGGTTCTTCGTCAACTGGCCGATCGACGCGTCGCGTGTCGAGACCCTCGATATCCACGGTGACCGCTCCGCAGTGGCGTCGCTGGCACGCTGGCGGGCGATGTTGATGTCGGTCCCGGCCGCGAAGACGCTCCGTGTGCGGGCGGTGGACGGCGACTTGCAGGACGTACTCCGCGCCCTCGCGCCTGAGGCGGACCCGCTCCTGTGTCCCCGGCTGGAGACGCTCATCTTAGCGAGGGTGAGCGCTGCGCAGGACGCTGCGGATTCGCTGGTGGATGCAGTGTCCCTGGGCCGATCGCCCGCGGCGGGAGGATGTCTGGCGACGGTCACGGTCGAGATGCCTACGATTGAGCCTGCTAAGGCCGACGCTCGGCTGGCGCATGTGTCTGACGATGGATAGTGCGGGAATAGAGAATCATTTGCGAGTGCGCACTGCGTCCCGCACAACTATTTTGCTTTCCTCGCGCGCGCGCGCGCATGCTTGTGGCGATCTGGCCACGCTCTTCGTTCGGTGGGCGTTACTGCGGTCCGAGAAGCCCGGGTCTGGAGCGAGCAACGCTGCAGCATGCCGCAGCTTTTGCTTCGTACCACGACCATCGTGGCCACTCGCGACTCCCTTCTCCCGTTGAGATCTACACATATAATCAAAGTGTCCTTGTCTAGCCATCACTTCAGAACCCTCAAAATGTACGCAGAGGTAAGTGAATTTGCGACACCCAACGGTATCGTTATAGACCCTCATTACCATTTGCTCAGCAAAAGGAGCAATTGGTCTGTGGCCGGTTTGTCGACCACACACGCGGAACAGTGGGCTTTGACAACGACGACCAACCCACCGAAGGAGAGGGGCAGCCACGAAGCTCGCCTCTCGAACATGTCCCGGAGCACCAAACTACCACGGAACTCGCTACATCAGGCCTCGATTCCATCCCGCCCGAGCTGCTCGGCCTCATCTTCGAGCACACCGCCGGTGCCGCTGCCGTGCTCAACTGTGAGCTGATCCGCATCACCCACGTCTGTCGGTACTGGCGCGATGTCGCACTACACTCGCCCGCCCTTTGGTCGCACATCGCCCTCATGCATCCGGCAGCAGTCGAGGTCTTCCTAGCGCGCTCGCAAACTCTACCTCTGCGCATATCTGTCGACATGAAAGCTAAGCGCGGCTCAAAGACGTCAAAAGGCATGCGCATTCAAGCGCTCCAGGTACTCTTGGGCCAGGCCGCGTGTGGTCGCATCCTTAGCCTGAAGATCAATGATCTACCAGGCTCCGACGACTTCAACTGGGTTATGCAAGATATCGCACGTGCCGCGTTACAGCTCGAGAGACTGTCGATTGAGCGGTGCTTTTCTGATGTGGTAATCATCCCTAGCGCCGATCCCGCTTATTTCGACGGCTTACCGAAGCTTCAATCGCTGACGCTTTCTGGCGAAACTCCACCCTGGTTCCGGAAGACGCCCAATGCGTTGACAACGATCTACCTTGAGTGGCCGTTGTGCAACGTACCTACGGTGGTGCGTCTCCTAGAGCGCAGCCCTTCCCTCGAGCATCTGACCATCCGCGGCTTTTTCGGCGAAGATGCGGAGCGTGGCACAGGCAAGGTTACCCTCGCCCACCTCAAGACTCTCCGTCTACAAGGCCTTTCCTCTCTAGTCACAGCCGCGCTCCTCTCGAACCTTATTCTTCCGTCCGAACACACGAACATCTCGCTCTGTGACCCGAAGTCATGGGGGCCGTCGTTCGCAGCACTCATCCCCACACACAACATGTTCAACGGACTCCCATTCTCGGCTCTCCAAGGCCTTAAGCACGTCCAGCTCACATGGAAGAACGGCCTCCGTACTCTTCGCGCCTACCGTAGCAGCGAACTCGCTCACTCCGCCGCACCGGCTCTGCAGGTACACACCGCCATGTCGATCGATCTTGCCGAGGGGTTCCTCATCAACTGGCCCATCGACGCGTCACACGTCGAAACCGTCGACATATACGGCGACACCGTCGACCTGCCGGAGGTACTGGAACAGGCATGGGTGTGGGCGACGATGCTGTCGGCAGTGCCTGCGATGAGGACGCTGCGCGTGCGCGCGGTGACAGAGAGTACTTTGCAAGCCATCCTCTCTGCGCTCCAGTCGCCGGGAGCAGACACGATGGCGTGTCCCCAACTGGAGACCCTCGTCCTGGTGCAGGTGTCCCTTGTGGGGCAGTCTTGGAACGCCTTGGCGGGTACAGCGAGGTTGAGAGGACCCCTCGTAGGTGCGGGAGGATGTCTGGCCAAGATCGTGGTGGAGCGGCCTGTTACCGAGCCCCCTACATCCGACGATCAGGTCTTGCGTCTGAACAAGATGACAGGAGTAGAGATGATTCTCACTGAGTCGCAGTAGCCTTCATGCGACTGCGACCCTTGCATAATCTGCTTACCTGCTCACTAGTACTGGCTACCATCCTCGACAGACAGTCTATGCCACAGGTCTGTCCACCCAAGCCTGCTATAGTTTCGTTTCCGAGTCCCTTGATATGGGTCTGCTCCAGTCCAAAGCTCCCTCATTTATGTGGTCTGACTTTTGACTCGCATACAATATCATTCCTATGCTATTCCCCTGGTGGGAGTTAATGCGCCCGGAGAAGATCCGATTTGGGTTTGGAAGAAGCAACGCTGCGGCATGTGAGCCTTTGCTTCACACCACGACCGTGCCCAAAGTCGTTCTCGCTCTTGCGTCACCCGCGCTGACCGCAACATAGTGATCAAGCCACGGTGTTGGATGTTTCTCAGACACTCGGACTCGAGGTGAGTGAATCTATCGTATTCGGTAGTGCCGTGGTGACAGCTTCAACGTTTGCTCAGATTAAAGAGCAGGGATATGCCTCCTAACCTTAAACGCAACGTCGTGGTCTCTCGCAGCAGCAAGATAGTCCAAGGAGAGATGAAACCGCGAAGCAGGCCTCCCAAACACTCCTCGCAAGTTCTAAGTACTCCGAATGTCGTCACACCTCACCAGACCCTCCCGCCCGAGGTCCTCATCCAGGTCTTCGAGCACGCCGTCGAGGCCGATGTCGCGATCAACTCTCACCTGATTCGCATCACGCACGTCTGTCGGTACTTTCGCGATCTCGCGGTACACTCGCCGGCCCTATGGACCGATATCGCGCTCAGGCATCCGGACGCGGTTAGGGCTTTTCTGGCACGCAGCAAGGGTCTACCTCTGCGCATATCCCTCGACATGAACACCACTTTCTCCTCGGCGATCACAAAAGACAAGCTCACTCAAACGCTCCAGGCTCTCCTCGCGGAATCCCGCCGCACCGTGAGCCTCAAGATCGCCAGCTTGCTGCCCTTCGGTTTTGACTGGGTCATGATGGGCATCGCGAGCGCCGCACCACAGCTCGAGACGTTGGCGATTGAGCGGCGCCTGCCCGTCTTCGTAGTGATGCCCCAAGCGCGTCCCACTGTTGTCGATGGCATGTCGAAACTGCGCTCGCTGAAGATCTCCGGTTCCGCCCTGTACTGGCTTCCCAGAGCGCCCAACGTGCTGACGGAGATCGAGTTCAACAACACGCTATGCGATGTCCACACGCTGCTGTCTCTGCTACAGTGCTGCAGCGCCTCCCTCGAACGCCTCACCATCCGCGGTGTCTTCAATACACCCCCGGCGCGCGATACGCGCAGAATCACCCTCGCGCGTCTCAAAGCCCTCCAGATACACAGCGTCTCCCTCCGGGGACTCGCCGCGCTCCTCCCGAGCCTCGTTCTCCCATCCGAGCACACTACCGTCTCGTTCAGCTCCCCCCGGCACTGTCACAGTGCCGCCTCGTTCGGTTACTTGGGCCCGCGAGCAAACGTGGGCCCGGGAACGTTCACAGACCTCGCCTACGCGCTCAGAGCACCGGGCCTCCTCCCGATCGCTGCGCTCCGTCAGCTGAAGCGCGTCGAGCTCAGGTGGAACCGCCGCAGATTGCAGACCCTGCGCGCGTACCTCAACAGCGATGTTGAGGACCCCGCTGCGCCAGCGCTGCAGGTCCAAGCCTACGCGTCACCCACGTCCCCAAACGCGCGCTTCATCGGCAACTGGCCCCTCAACGCGACCGACGTCGAGACCCTGGACATATACGGCGCCGCCGCAGAACTGCCATTCCTGTGGCATTCACCGTGGGGGGCGTCGTGGGGCCCGATGCTTGCGGCAGTTCCGCGGCTGAGAACGCTGCGTATACGGGCGGTAAGGGAGGAGCTCCTGCAGGCCATCCTATGCGCGCTCGCCACGAAGTTCCGGGTCGGGCATGGTTCAGATGTGTGTCCCCGGCTGAAGACACTCATCCTGGCGGAGCTGACTCTTGGGGAGAAGTCTTGGAGCGCCCTGGTACAGTTGGTGTACACAAACCGGACATACCTTGAGACGATCATGGTCGAGCTGCCTAAGATTGACCCTGCTGTATGCGACGGGTGGGCCGCGATCCAAATCAGGAGGGCGGAAAGTTGCATACGACTCGTTTTCACGGAGCCGAACTCACCTCCAGGCCTATGTTGTTCTGTAGTACTGTCTCAATTGAATACGAATAAGTGGTGGTGACATTTACAGCATGGTTTCTGCTACCTAACCCCCCTGGAAAATGTAATACGAGGTCAAAGGTCGTACAGCCGTCGTGGTAGGATGGTAAGCTGTATTTCACGTCCGGTGGGCGCTTGAAATTGGAGCAAGGTGCCTGCTGCCGTTGACTCGTCAGCTTCTTCTTCCCACCACAACACACAGGCGACCTTCGGCCTCATCATCGGCACAGGAAGCATGTCTATATCTCACCAGAACGGTCAGGCGAGTGAATCTGCTGCTTAACAGTACCGCAATGCGATCTTGAACGTTCGTTTAGCTCGACAGGCAAATGGCCCAAAGCAATCATACGGATATGCGCCCGGCCTGCACGGTCTCCTCGACGCCCAATCACGACTATGAGGAAACAGAACAAGAAGACGGCGCGGACCCTGCGCAGTGCATGCTTCCCGATAAGGTCTCACAGCTTCATATCACCCCAGATCTCGTTGCGTCCCCCAACTCCCTCCCCCCGGAGCTGCTGCAGCTCATTTTCGAGGACATTGTTTATGCCGCCGATACCGTCCCCAAAGCAAATGGACGGCTGATTGACATCACGCATGTTTGCCGATACTGGCGCGACGTCGCGCTACACACCCCTACCCTTTGGACGCACATCGCGCTCACGCATTCGGACGCCGTCAAGGCTTTTCTGAAGCGGTCCCAAGACCTGCCTCTGTACAGCTCCGTCGAGGCTACACCGGAGGCTTTAGCAAATCCGAAACACATGTTCAATCAAGTGCTCCAGGCGGTCCTTGCACAATACGGTCGTACATCCAGCTTAAAGGTCATCGTTTCGTGGTCGCACGCCTTCGACTCCGCCATCGAGCGCATCGTGAGCGCCCGCACGACGCAGCTCGAGAAATTGTGGATCGAGCGGCTACCAGCGCCCGACCCTCTAGTCTCCCCCGAGAACCGTCCGACCGATTTTGACGGCGTGCCGCGGCTGCGGTCCCTGACACTCTCTGGGGAGTTCCTGCCTTGGTATCCTAGAGGACCCAACGCGTTGACGGAGATCAACCTGACAAGTGCGGTACACGATGTCCACGCGATGGTGAGTTTGCTCAGCCGCAGCCCCTCCCTCGAGCGGGTGACCGTCGGCGGCTCGTCCAACGAACACACAAGGCGCGACGCACGCAAGGTCACCCTCGCCCGTCTGAAGAGGCTCCACATTCACAGCTACCCTATACGAGGCATCGCCGCGCTCCTCCCGAGCATCGTCCTTCCCTCCAAGCACACGGACATTTCACTCGCCAGCCCCTACCACTATCGCAACTCCGGCGCGTTCTCGGACATCATGCCTGCGTACGGCGGAGCGCAGGTGCTCGACTATGCGGTTCTCCAAGGTGTGCGGCGCGTCGAGCTCTTGGGAGGCTACGGTGGTCAGACGCTACGCGCGTACCGCAGCAGCGACATCGACGATCCCGCCGCGCCGGCGGTGCAGATCAAGATGTCGAGGTACCTGGGGACCTCCGTGGAGCGGTTCTACGTCAACTGGCCTTTCGACGCGTCGAGCGTAGAGACCCTTACCGTATTGAGCCACCCCGATGCGTACAGAGTAGCATCGCGGGAGCTGTGGTGGGCGATGCTGGCCGCGGTTCCAGCCTTGAAAACGTTGCGCGCCGAGGGGATGGGCAACAAAATGTCGGGCGACCTCATCTCAGTGCTCGCGCAAGGATCGCTGCCTTTGTGCGATCAACTGGAAACACTCATGTTAAAGGACGTGATTCTGGAGAGGCCAGCATGGAAGGCGTTGATGGACGTCGTTGCGAGTCGAGCGCCGCGGGCGGGAGGGTGCCTCTCGTACGTTGAGCTGTCCCTGAAGGGGCCTGCTGTGTGGGCCCAGTCGACCTCGCGCAGGATCAGGGACGCGGGAGTGGAGCTCGTCCTCAGCGCGTCCGTGCAAGATTGATATATATAATCATATATGTACCAGGTAGTTGTATGTGCTCGAACGTATAGATGCAAAAATGGACACTGGCAGTTACCAGTAGTCCCCCGTAATGCCATGCTGACGCCATCGCCGTCATCGAACTCTGCTTCACCGACGAACAGCCGTAAACGAGAACCATGCATGTACCAAGTAAATAGTTGCCTGTGCTCGATCGTAGAGATGCACAAATGGACTTTTACTAGGAGATCTACGCAATGCCTGTACAATGTACATGGTGGCTCGTAGTCTGCAAGCTACCGCGAGTTCTCAGCGGACACAACTTAGCACCCTCGTGTCGTGGATATCATCAGTTCCGGGACCCAATCATTCACAGCCCATGGCGGGACTCAGGACCGCCACAGACACCCTGTTCAGGACACCTAGCAGATAGTCCAGATGAGAGAAAGATCGTCCATTAGATCACCGACGCCTGCGGGGACGCTGTACCAGTGCTACCAATACATCGACGTAACACGAAACCGTCCGAACGCGCGCGCCACGGCCACTACAACTATATCATATGTAACCGGCGCGCTTTACGTTTTTCCAACACCGTCCGTTCGGCGGATGCGGCTGCGGGATGCGAAGAGTAGTGGGGACCAAATGCAAACGAGTGGACGCCACGCGCCGCCCCCGCGAGTATACAGGTACACAGGGGGAGGGCGGCGCAGGCTTGGGGGGTAGGCTGACAGCGGAAAACAGACAGACATGCGTAAGAATGTACGGGGCAGCAGCGGCACAGAACAAGAAATGTGGATGCGACATGAAGCGAAGCGGGTTCATAAGGAGAAGCGTCCGTGCGCAAACTAGGGTCGTGAAATGTTCAAAAATGCAAGTGCGGGGATAGTGGGTGGGCGGGTCGTAAGGTATCGCGTGAGGGAGACGGGTGAGGCAGGGGGAGCTTAGCGTTATAGGCTTAGCAGGAGGGTATCGTGATGTCCTTGAGCGTGCGGCTACGGTGTATACGTTAGTATGAAGGAAACAGATAAAAACAGCAGCAACGTACTTCGAGTTGAACAGGCCCCAGTAACCCTGTAAGATGCATATTAGCACGCGAAAGAGTCAATGCAAACTTAGCTAGACTCACCTCAACACCGCCGAACTGGGCGTCTTTCCAGGTCTCATCGAAGTACTGTAGAAGACATTAATGTCAAAGGGTCACGGGCACTTATAAAATGCACGTACCTCAAAGAAGAAGTACTTGGTGCCGTTGGTGTTCGCCTGACAGACGAAGGTGTCGAGGAACGTCTAATGCAACCGTTAAGCACCACATATAGACCCCGAGAGTATATCCGGCGGATGACGTACCTGGAGGTTGGCTACGGACGCAATTGACGGGCCGTTGCTCTCGTTACCGACATCCTTCGACGCCTACCCAAAAATAAATCAGCCACCGTCGCCACCACCACCTCCACCCGCACACTGCACTCACCGTCGGCCAACCAGTCTCAGCAATGAACATCTCAGGCTTGTTCGACAGCGTATTCGCGACGTCCACGTTCGTCTCCTGGAAGAACTCGTTCACCCAGCCCGCGGCCTGGTCGATCGACACGTTCGCGAACCACGCGTGGATGTTCGACATGCCGTAGTCGACCGCCTCGAGCACCTCGTTGTTGAAGTAGCTCCCCGCGTCCGCCGTCCCGATCGGGATCGTCTTCGCCAGGTTCAGCGCCGCGACCTGCGTGCGCATGTCCGTGATGTTCGAGATGAGCAGCGCCGCGCCCGCGTTGCCGATGTCGCTGTTCGGCACCGTTCCGCCGTTCGCGTTCAGGTAGCTGCGGAGTTAAGGGGGGCGCATTAATATCTAGGGCTGTATGAAGGACGCGCCGGGCACGTACTTCAGCATGAACTCGTTTCCGACCGTGATACCAGCGACGTGGTCCGCGCCGTAGGTCTTGAGCGCGTCAATGATTGCATCACGCTGGCGCTCGTACGGCGCAGGATCTGTGGGAATGGGGTAGTTGCCGAGCCACACGTCCATGTCGACCTTTGTCCGGTCAATGGCCTCGAGCTATTACCGCATACACTTAGACATTTACTGCACAGACGATTTATGGTAAGGCACGTACCACCAGAGCCGACTGGTTGCAATCAGCACCATACAAACGGATTTGCTGTGCAAGACATCAGGGATCAGCGCACAGGCGGGGGCAAGCGACCGCGGGACAACATACAGTGGTGAGCTGCGAGAGGAGCTGCGGGACATAAAGCCGGATCAGTCAAGTTCGGCACAGAGTGCGCAGGCGGTAATTACCTGAATGTCCGTGATTACTTGGTCTGTTTGCAAATCGCAGTCAGCGGTTGGAACGGACGGCGACGAGGAGGCCGTGTCGGGAACGCACCGAGTGAGTTGCCACAGTCCGGGAGCTGCGAACCCTCGGGGGTGTATGCGATACCGTAGAAGGACTTCTTGAGACGGGTGTCGAGCTCGAACGTGCTCGGGTCGTTGGCGTCCGTCTGGTTGACGACCGAGGACGAGTTTGAAGAGGAGCTCGTGCTCGCGTTGGTCGACTTGTGGTTCTTCGCGACGGTCACACCTACACCTACGCCAATAGCGACCAGGCCGAGGACCGCAACGAGCGAGCCGATGACCTTCGCGTTTACAGGCGCTCAGCCGCAGTAGGAGTGCGGGCGGAATAGCGGCAAGACTTACGATCCACTTGGAGCGGCGGTTGCGGGACTGCTCCTTCTCGAGCCACTGGCTGCTACTGTACTGCGGGTTTCCATACGGGCTGTCCACGTTCGAGTATCCTTGGGGCTGGTTGAGCGGCATGTTCGGGACGTCGGTGTACGGGTCGACGTGAACGTAGGAGTCGCGCGTGGAGAGAGCCGGGGTGGAGAGGGGGCTCGGGGTGGCTCTTGAGGAGAGGGCGAGAGAGTAAGGGTCGTCGACGGTGGAAAGACGGTGTGGGGGCTGCGCAGCAGATTAGGCGGGGGCGAGGAGAGGTTAAGAGAGAGACGAGAGACTGGGCGTTGGAAAAGAGGACTGACGGGAAGGAGGGAGTATGTGGCCGCGTCGGGACTGGCTGAACCAGACCCCCGCGTGTCACTTGTCTCCCGGCTCCAGGGCGGCATCGCGCGTCGGGCCCTTGGCTGCTATTCTCAGCACAACCCTTTCTTCACTTAGGCGCCTCTTTGCACCACTCCTTGATCGTCTTCGCTGCGTTCGTGAGGGCGTCGTGCTCGCCGGGGGCGCGTTCGTCAGAGTCGTCGTGTCGTGAGGACAAGGTGTGCTGGCTGCTGCCACGGGGCTTGCGGCCCAGTATGTCTGAGTTACACACAAGGCGGTGAACTCATTGCATAATTGCCGGTGTCCGTCCGGATACGTCCTGCTTTGCCGGCCCTCTGTGGCAGCGCGCGGATCATTGCGACAAGCTCGCACTGGCCCTGTCGGGCCCGCCGGGTACCTGGCTCGCCTCAACGCCCCTGCACACAACGACGAACGCCTACAACTACGCGGACGCGACTCCAAAAGCTCCAAAACGCCTCCGAGTCCTCTGTGCCAGCCGTCGCGGTGGTATAAACGGCTCCGTTCGTCCACATATAGGCCGCGCTCGGCACGAGCTATATTCGTTCCTGGATCGGTTTGGCAGATTGGCCTGCCCGTCCGCCGCGCGACCGCACACCGTCTGCGCAGTCGACATGACGATGCCGAGACGCCTCACAGCTTTTCCCATGCTTCCATCCCACTTCCATCTTGCGAACACCTGCAAGCCGAGCGAGCATCACACTCAACTGCCTGATCGCAGCGGACGGCGGACGCTGTTAATTATAGCCACCAAGTACGAAGCACTAAATATACATACAGCACGACAGCAGCGACACGAGGGAACTTTCGTGCTCCGCACGCGTACGAGCCTTCGGAGAAGGGGCTTGCTTCAAAATACAAGAATCGGATAGGTATGTGTGCCCCTCGTATCTCCCACCCTTCTGCATGTCTATCCACAAGATCTCGAACTTGATCAGATGTACATGGGCTATACGTCCGCCGTCCGCGTCAACGTCTCTGCCGCGACGTGGGCGGTGGCGTATCTGTGTGTTTTGACATGGACTAGCGGCGCGCCTGGCGTCGCGCTCTTGCCTCTTGACGTGGACACTGTCGCATTCGTATTGGTCGTTTTTTTTTCGTCCTAGGAGGCTCGCCGGTCGGTGTGGTGGTTTTCGTACAGGTCTCCTCGTACTTACAAGTTTACAGGGCGCGCTGCGGCTCGCTTGCACGGACATACAGTACATATATCATCTCTCGCGTCGCTGCTGTCGTTGTGGTATATTTAGTGCTTCGTTCGTGATGCCTATACTTAATTGTACTGCGATCCTCGCTTGGCTTGCAGGCGTTTGCAAGATGGAAGTGGGATGGAAGTAGGTTCGGACCTAACGAGGTCGGGCGTCCTCATACTCCTGGTACAGTTGTAAAACATGGCTATAAATTATAACCACACTTTTTCAGGGTGTTTTCTCGTCGGTGTGTCTACAACGCACGATGGCACTGTGCAAAATCTGTTTGTTTCCCATCGGCGTCCGGTGGACCGGCAGCACGAGGTAAAGATGTTGAGCACTCACACTCAATAGGCAGCGAAGGTGTTGCAACATCTACAAGTGCTTGCGAAAATGTTAGACATCTTCACAAAACGTCTCAGACCTCAAAATTTGAAGGGTGAGTACATCGAGTACGGTTGCATAACGTTCACTTGTTTTTGGAGCAGAACAACCCCGACAGAATATATGTTTTCGCTGATGATCGCCTCGGGCGAGGATGCCAACTTGGTACCATTTCCAACGTGGCTGGTACCTTCCCCGATTCTCAGAATATATGAAAACTCGACAGATCGCGACCTCGTAGAACAAACGACACAGGCGAAGTACTCGCCCAGGCCGAGATGGAGATTATGGCGGACCGGGGAGGAGATATATGCACTACGAAAATGAGAAAAATCAAACCCCATTCGAAGGACCATCTATTTAATGCACCCCTGCTACGAACCAGAGCCTGGTCCGAACCTACTTCCATCCCACTTCCATCTTGCAAACGCCTGCAAGCCAAGCGAGGATCGCAGTACAATTAAGTATAGGCATCACGAACGAAGCACTAAATATACCACAACGACAGCAGCGACGCGAGAGATGATATATGTACTGTATGTCCGTGCAAGCGAGCCGCAGCGCGCCCTGTAAACTTGTAAGTACGAGGAGACCTGTACGAAAACCACCACACCGACCGGCGAGCCTCCTAGGACGAAAAAAACGACCAATACGAATGCGACAGTGTCCACGTCAAGAGGCAAGAGCGCGACGCCAGGCGCGCCGCTAGTCCATGTCAAAACACACAGATACGCCACCGCCCACGTCGCGGCAGAGACGTTGACGCGGACGGCGGACGTACAGCCCATGTACATCTGATCAAGTTCGGGAACGTATCGTGCACGTCAAATGCGCCGCTACGCGCGCGCAACAATGGGGCTGGGTGGGGTGGGTAGGCGTCGACGACTGAGGCGAAAATGAGGTGGCTAACTACAGCTATCACAACAACAACGGCATATATGTATCGTATCGTAACAACATCGTGAACGGCATCGACATCCGGCGGCGACGACAGCGGGCGGCGCGCCCTCCCCCGGCGCCATATAGCCAGCCGCCGCCGCACATCGCCGGGACCTAAATAGCGTAGCGGACGGGCGAACGAAAGGGGCGTATCAAATGCGAATGCGGAGAGAACGGGGTGGAAATACACATGGAGGGGCGCGCGGCGGGCGCTGTGGGTAGCACAATGAAGGGTGGTATAGAACGTGGGGGTGGGAGGGCAAGTGCACACAACAGGGGCGGACAACGCAAAGCAAAAAGGAGCGCGGCGAGGCAGGGGCGGGAAAGGCGGGCGGGCGGGGTCAACCCGTCGACGTCCCGCTACTCGGCGTGCGTCGCGCGGGCTGGGCGGACGCGCGCTTCTGCTTCTTCACGAGCTTCGCGTGCCGCTCCTCGTCCGTCGGGCGCCCCTTCGACGACGGCAGCGTTCGACTTCGCGTCACCGTTACGATCGAGCCGGATCGCGATGGCGGCGTTTCGACCACGGGCGACAGCCTTTCTGCCTCGCCTGCCAGCGTCGGTGATTTCTCTACATCATGGTGCGTGTCAGCCATCCCGCACAATGGAATCTGGTAGGTTAAAGAATGCTTACCTCCCGATCGTTCTGTAGTTGTACGCCGCCTGCCGATCTTCTGAGGCACATCGACTTTGCTGATTAGCTTCCAACCCCCCAGTTCCTCGTCAGAACTTGAGAGAAGGTCGCTAGCTTCCGCCATCGGCACCGTCACAGAGCTGTCGGTCGGCTTCGTCGTTGGCGGTGGTGGAATGTCGAGCATGAACCAATCCTGGTGCGCGATCAAGAATTCCAGTACGTCCTGGCTCAGCTGATGTTCGTGCGGATTCAACTCGTGGCTTGGGTGAGCGATGAGCGCCGGACGGAAAATCACCGCCAAATCTACCGTACGCGATGGGCGTCAGTTGCGTAAGAACGCCGGAGGTGGAGATGTACGCACTCTTCGCGGTCATAAGGTTCTTGTCCGATTTCCGCGCGAAGACTGAGAGGAGATCGAGTACGTATAGCAGCAGGTACTGATTTGCGCGGGGCATCGAGCGGATGAGACGCTTGTACGTCGCGATTACTTCGTCTTGACTAAACGGCTTCTTTGCTAAACTGGACATGTTAGCGCGGGTTCGACTACAGGCGGTGGAGCTGGCGGACTCCTCACCGAGAGCGTCTCGGAACTGAGGCGAGTCAGTGACGGGTTGGAAGGGGGTAAAGAAGGCTGCTCACTAGGTGGTACATGTCATGGGGTATCACGGGTTCCTGCGCAGAGTTCAGAGGGAGGAAGATCGGCCGGGAGAGGCATTCTACTCACAGGCATCTGAGTGAGGTATCGTCGAAACACGCTCGCGACGTCATGTGTTGTATAGTGCTCCTTTTTCCAGTCAAGGTTCTTGCCATACTGCACGGCTTCATCTTCAGTGGTCGCACAGGGGGGGATACAGCGGGAATACGCACTCGTGGAGGGGCTTCGAAGGCGGCTTGCAATTCCCTCATGCGCTTGTTTGAGCCATTAACCCGGAAGGTACCTTCTACCTCCGTCGCTGCAGTGACTTGCAATGAGCACTCCAACCACACGAGACGTCAGTGGCACGCATACCATTCTCCTTCAGATACAGCCCGCTACGATAGGAGTTAAATCGACGCTAGCGGGCGGGTGGCACACGGCTACGCACCATTTCGCGACGACGACAGGTATATAGCCCCACACGTAGAGCTCTCCATTCGCGTTCGCGGTCGATATCTGCACGCTTGCGTACTTGAGGCTCTCCTTGAGCGGCTTTCCGAAGACATTATGCTCTCCCTCTGCGCCGCAACCCGTCAGTCACACGCCGGCCATACTCGCCCACCCTCCGCCCGCCCCAGCGCGGGCGACGACGACGGCGCCGTCGAGAGCGAGACAGGAGTAGAGTAACGCACCTTTCTTTTCCTCGGTCTCCTTCCTGATCTTCTGTGCGAACGTGAAGTGGTTCCACCACGCCTTGAGGCTCGCCTTGGTCGGTGCACCCGAATCCTGCGAGCCAGGCTGCTGCTGTTGCTGCTGCTGCCGCCGCTGGAAGGCCTCGTACTGCTGCTGGAGCTGGCGGCGCTGCTCCTCCTCGCGCTTCTGGCGCTGCTCCTGCTGCTGCGGGGACATCTGCGCGGTCGTCATCGGTTCAGGCGGGGGCTGGGGGGCCGCGGGGGTAGAGGGAGTGGTCGCCGAGGTCTGGGACGGTTGCGGGGAGTGCGAGGAGGTGTGAGGGGATGATCCGGACGGGACGGTGGGTGCGCGCGCACAGGGGTCGAGGGTGTTGGAACGGCGGCGGGGGCCCCGCGCGAAGAGGCCGAGGAGGGGGAAGGGGAGGGGTGGGCGGCGGGTGCGAGCCTGAGACGCCAGCGCGGCGCAAGACGCTGCGGTCGCGGGGGAAAGGGGATGCAGATGCTGGCTTGGGCGGTGGAGAGAGCACGGCCGACCCCGGTGGCGATCGAGTCTGTGCGGCGCCGCTGGGGAGAGTCCTGCAGGCTCCGGAGCGTGAGCGTGCCCGTCGTCACCGTACGAGCGCGGAAGTCAGATCGCGATGATGATCCCGGCGCAGCGTCTCCCTCCGGTCGTCGTCGGTTCTGCCTCTGCCCGTCTCGTCGTCCAATCTCTCCTCTGTCCGTATGCGACTCTGGGCTCCGTGCTGCTTCAGGCCCAGCGGCGAATCAGCGCCCTGCTATCTTCAGGAGCCACCGACGTCAGCTAACACGTTCCGCCGGCAGTTCGTTCACTCGATGAAGGCGCAGGGGTCAAGCAGCAGCGTTCGAGACTCGGTGCAAGCAGAGTTGAAGGCTGGAAGATCGACAGGAGAGAGGGCTCTGACGCAGAGGAGGGCGTGTGGGACGCTGAGGAGCGACGGCGGCAACGAAAGACTCCGGGAAACGGGCTAGTCTAGCGACCACTCCACAACACCAAGAACTCTGGAAACGCTGCCTGTGGTGGCGGAGACGAGTGCAAATTGTCAGGCACGCGGTCGTCCACCCTCCTCCGTAAATACGTCGTTCGTCCACCCCGCTTAGCCTCGTTTCGACTCGGATCTGGGGTGATATGCTGTGTACGGCCTGCACGGGGCCATGTGAGAAGATACCCGAACTCTACTTTTATGGGCGGCCCACACAAGAAGATGCCGGTAGGAGCTCTTGACAAAGAACTCCTCATGAGACCGACGTAACTGACATAATATCCCGCTAGACGCAACAGGGGTTCGTGTAGCGCATATCGTATACGACGCTGTACGTCTGTACACCCAGCAACTATTTACGATGCGCGCATAACGGGGAGCATATGATTCTTGGGATCTACACAGGCACTCCACGAGCTTCTCCACCTGAGTAGCACTTCGACGCTCCGACAGCTTCGAGAACTATGCATGATGCCTCCGAGGGCGCAGAGAGCATAGATGTGGCTCGGGATGTCATATTGCGACCTCCAAATCCGGCTGCGGCGAGCATGTGCCCACGGGTCTCACACTCGTCGTGGCGCCTGACCCTATAGCTTCAGTGGCACTCGTGCGGGGTTGGACACAGCCATGCCTAGCGGGGCCGTTCAGATGCCCACAGTACGACGGATGTGGCAGGACTGGAGTGGGAGGCGTTGACGTTACCCTGAGTGTTCACTACGATTTAAGCAGCAGTCACCCCAGTCTGTCATCGGGGAATATATGCTCACGTCCAAGAGGGCGGGTAGAGTTTTATCTGTGCTGCTTCCCCGAGAGTACCGGCTTGAACTACACGAGCTCTGGTTGTTGAACTGGTGCCAATTGCAAGTCGGCCAGGCCGAATCCAGGGAGCTCTGCAGGTTTGTACTGCGCCTATATGGAACGTAGTGCTCACGAAGCTGTGCAACAACATAGTACAAGGATGGAACGCACCACCGCAGCGAACTACGAGAATATAGCGCTCTAACCAGCCTGTTCAGACGAACCACCATCCGACCCGGGCCCGCGGCGCGAGCTACCTCCCTCACTCCCAATCCCCCCAGTAATACACGCCTGGTGCAGCGCCTCCATCGCTGTGACCTCCTCCTCCGCCGTCAGCCCCGCCAGCCCGAGCTCGACGCTCTCCTGCAGCGCCGCGCTCAGCTCCGGCTCGACCACCACGCCCACGCCCTTCTCCACGAGCAGCGCGAGCCCGTACGCGATGCGGCCGACGCAGCGCGCCTCGTAGCGCGTCCCGTCTGCGTTCCCGCGCTGCAGCACGCGCGCGAGGTCGCGCAGGAGCGCGTGCAGCTGCTGGCGGTCGTGCGGCGCGCGCTCGTCGTCGAGCCAGTTGAGCGTGGGCGCGAGGAGGAGCGCGACCGCGCACGCTTTGAGGAACATGTCGGAGAGGCGGTGTTGCCGCGAGGCGCAGGCGAAGGAGATGACATTGCTCACGGCTGTGGGGAGAGTCAATAAGTACTGCGATGGAGTATGGGTTGGAACGGAGCGTACCTGAAGGGCAGTAGAGGTACGTCCATTGGTGGGCGCTCTCCCAGAGCAGGTTGAGAGCGGCACGGCGCAGCCGGAACGGCTCGTCCTCGCTCAAGAGCTCCGCGACGCCATTCAGCACCGTCCGGTACAGCTCCGGGTCCTGCTCGTCCGCATCGCACGCTCCCATGCAGAGCTCCCAAAGAGTCCAGAGCACATCGATTGCCCCCAAGTGCGCGGGGTTGTGGTCGCGGGGGATGTACTCCAGCAACTTCAGCAGCATGTGCACGCTCCGCTTGCGTGTGCGCTTCGGGAGACTCGCGCCCACGTCGCGGAGGAGCTGAGAGCAGACGCGCGAGCGCGAGCGTACGAGGTCGACGAAGGTCTTCAGCGGGAGGTGCACGTTGCTGGCGAGATCGGTATAGACGAGCATGGCAGCGTGATCGGGAATTAGCTCCGGAATGAAGGGCACCAGAGTGTCCAGGGTGTCGTCGTCCGTGAAGCTTTGAAGGATGAGTGAATCCAGACCAGTGCCTTCAAGTCGAGCGCATCCTGTTCGCTAGCCATGACCGCGTGGTCGCGCTCGCTCCAATGCGAGTAGTTCGGTAGCAGAGTAGGGCTGGCAGAAAACCACACGCTCATGTCTAGAAAGCGTGAATTTGCCTTATAGAACCATGCCACAAGATTCCGCTTGATGCGGACGAAGAGCCAGGATTGGGGGGACTTGTAGGAGCAGCGGATGTCGAAAGCAGGTGTCAAGGTGGTCGCAGCGTAGAATATTAACGCAACGGCGATAAGGGCCGTCACGATGGCTGCTACGGTGGTCTGCAGCAAGAAGAGGAAGTCGATAAGCCCAACGAAGAAGAGGACGAGGGAGATTTGCAGCAGGAGGGGAAGGAGAGCCATGATCTCCGGGACGTGCCAGGCGACCATGCAGTCAAACCGATGTTGGCGTAGGCGGACGTTATCTCGCGGCGAGAGCGACACCGCAGCCATGTATTCGCGAGTCCACTGCTTGACGATGATGGCAACTAGGGCAGAGAACAGAGAGAAGACAAGACTGGAGAACCACAACGCGTTGATTCTGACGCTTTGGCTTGAAGGCTGAAAGTTCGTATTCGTTTGGAAGCTCGGAGGCTGGGTGGTAGCATTGGCTCCGGTTGCCTGCAACGAGGCAAGCTGCTGGCTGATCTGCAGGAGAACCTGCATTGACGCTTGTGTAGGATCATCCTGCAACAGATGGTACGCTTCGATGTTGAATGCGGTTACTATTGCAGAAAAAAGACCAGCCTTATGTCCCGGTATGAGTGCATGGCGGTGAGCATGCCGAGTTTGTTCACTTACGAAAACGAGCAGCGTGTCGATCTCTTCTTTCCAGCCGCGAACCATGGCCTCGTCGTACGCTCTCATTCGAGAAGCATATACCGACCAATCGGGAGTGAAGTCGTTATAGTCTTCCGGGAGCAGGCGACGAGGTAGTTGCTCGAAGGACTTCGCACTCTCGCGCGAGTAGGTACTGGATGCCGACGAGTTGACCATTTCACTTGGGGGTTACAGGCTAGGAGACGCTGTCAAGGTGGTGGTGGTGGCGGTCCAAGAGCGAGAGCACCGCCTGCACATGCGAGAGAGTTCTGATGCTGTCGTGCATCATCCTGGATGGTTCTCCGCAGGCTGGCAGCGGTGGGACTCTGCCAGGAGAAGGTTAATCACTGCCGGAAGCAAGCTGTGGGCGCTTGTCCAAGAGGGGAGTGCAGACGCCCGCAATATGAGACGCGGACACGTGACGATACGCGTCGCAGCCACGCGGTGGTTGTTCAACTTGGGCGTCTGGTCGAGAGGAACGTTGTCCTTCGTCCTTTGTCACTTCTTCTCCTCCATCTCTCTCCCCAGCCTTCCTTTCTCTCTTCTCTCAGCCTTGCGCTGTTATAAAGCGACACCATGTTCAAAAGCATTCTCCCCTCTCGCAGGATCCCCGCCGCCGAGTTCCAAATGCTCACCACCCCTACCGACCCGATGGAATCCGAGCCAAACGGCAAGGAGAACTACTTCACCTACAACGGCGCCTCCGACCCCAATGCGAAACCCCGGACAGAGAAGAGAAAGAAAGCCAAAGGCAAGGCCCAACAAGGCGACGAGCCGCTATCTGCTGAAGACTTCGAACGCTTGCTGGTGAGTTGACGTCTTCCTTTCCTCTCGAACGCTCGTCTCTGCGGATGCTACGCGAACTCGGCAACACCAATCCTTGCAGTCGCCACAATAAACCTCTACCCTATGGTTATCTAGTAGTGCGGAGACCAGAACGTTCCGACGAGCGACTCGCCTCACTGGTGGCTAAGAGAACCATGACCGTAATACTGATGCCAATTATTCCACAGGATGACCTCCAGATCCCAGCCACGCTGCGACCAAAGCTGGCCACTATGGACCCGTCAGTGAAGGCGGCCTTTCTAAAGTCCTCTCACGTCCTTGCGGAGATGAGGCCACCTGCATCGGCAAACCCGCCCCTCACGCCTCGTGGCTTGCGCAAGGCCCACAGTAGCGAGTCCCTCGCATCCATGGCTTCTCCGCGGCCCAAGAAGCCGTCACTAGAGCAATACGACCTCTCCCCCGCTCCGAGTCGCCGTTTCGTGTCGGGACACTCGAGAGGAGTGTCTATGGATGTTCGGCGGCAGGCCTTCGACACCGCGCCTATCCCTGTTGCCCCTCTGAAGACGAACAAAGACAAGAAGAAGGCCGCGGTGATCACGCCGGAGAAGTATGTTGGCATACTTCTCGGCCACTCCAGCACCACCCTGGACATCGAGGTGGTGAAGAAGCTTCGGCTTCTTCTCCGGAACGAGTCGGCCAGGTCAGTGCATATGTATCATTATGCGAACCTTTTCTCATCTTTAACAGTTGGACGGATGTTTTCGTGCGGGCGGGCGGATACGAAGCCATCCTCACCCGTCTCAACGAGATCCTAGATGTGGAATGGAGGTAAGATAGCCCAAGTCGCTCACACTTGTATTCAGGAGGCTCATTACAAATGCAGGGAGGAGCAGCACGATGACCAGATGCTCCACGAACTCTTGCGATGCGTGAAGGCCCTCACGACATCTTCTGTTGGGTGCAACGCTCTCCGGGCCATTTGTCCAGCGCCGTTCGACAAGCTGGTGACCCTCCTGTACTCGGACAAGAGGCCAGGGGAGATAGGGACGAGGCAGCTCATCGTCGAACTGCTCCTTTCGCTGTTCGACCTATACCCGCTGGGCTCGCTGCCGTCGAACGGCAGTCCAACTGCGGGCCTGTCCCACTCGCGTTCAAAGTCCGCACCCTGGGAGCTCTCGTCGCCTTCACTCGCTACCTCAAGTAGCCTCATCACCCTCCCTCGACCACACCAAACGCTCTTCTCTCTCCTTAAGGCGCTTCTCCTGACTCGTGCGCCGCCACCGAGCGAGGCCCCCGGTACCCCCATTGAGCCACATGCGTTCATTGAGGAGCTTCATCGACCAAGGATCTACAAGACCTACCTGCAGGAGATGAGCGACGTCTGCAGGGACTACTTCTGGGTGTTCTGCCACCCGAGCAACACGATCTGGGACCTCTCGGAGACGGATGAGGCAAAGGTCGAGAAGCCTCGCGCCCCCGGTGGTATGACGGGTGGTGTGGAATTCGAAGCGATGTGCTACATGGTAAGTGGAGCACAAATAGATGAGCATCAGCGATATGAGTCTAACATGTTGTCGTAGACGATGCACCTGAAGTTCGTCAACGCGATCGCGAGCTACGCACATGCGTTGAACTTGCCGAAGGAGCACGAGCACTCGGCATATCGGTTCCACCACGACATGTTCCAGTCGGGTGTCGAGCGAATCCTCTCGGTATGTCGCTCTGCCACCTCAGACACGCCTAGCAGCTCATGGTTATACAGATTGCGCGGAAAGCGTCGACGACTTACTACCCGACGCTGCACCTCGAGATCGCACGCTATGTCTCCGCCGCAGGCCGCTCCGGGCTCGAAATCCCTTGGAGTCTCTCCCGCATCGTCGGCCAGCCGCCGACGGGGATGCGCAAGCTACACGTCGCGCCGCCGCCTCCCATGCACTCCTCGCGGAGCACCCCCACTACGCCAACGAAGCAGCGGTCGGGCGGGTACCTCCCCCATCCAGTATACCCCGCGCACCCGGTGGCGTACCCGGCGCGCGCAAGCCAGACCGCGCTGGCCGCGGGCGGCGAGCAGAGGCCTGCGGTCCCCGGGAGCAGGAAGGTGACGCCGATGTTCAACTGAGCGTCGGCGCGATGTTGGTTGGTTTGGACGGACTTCACGAGATGATGACGATCAGTAGACGGCTCCGATGAGCCTCAGTTACGATGTGCTTACGCATTCCCTTGTTTGTATTGTGATTTTACGACTGCCCGGCCGATTCTGTGCTTGTACGTATGTATGTTATGTATGTCTGCGGCAGGTTGCGGACTGCAAGCCTATGAATGCTACGTGTTCACGCTCTACGAAGGCTTTACTTGATGGCATGATGACCATCGTCGGACCGTACGTACGATGTGCTCCTTTGAATCTACCGTCGCCTTGGAGCTACATCTTTTGCATTTCGCGGCCTTCGCGTTGTCGTTTACGCCTGTGCATCATGCCTTGCATCGACAGTGAGACAGTGTTCGATGGCTATATTAATGGTGGCGTCAGCATATAGCTTTAAAGGCCGTAGGGTTACATGACCGGATTCGGACCACCGGACAAAAGGAGGACTAGCAAATGACCCTTCTTGCATCTATACGCTCCGCAGACAATACATGGTACATACATGATTATAGACTTGACTTACACGGACGCACTAAGGACGAGTTCCACTCCCGCTTCCCCGATCCTGCGCGACGTCGACTGCCCCCAGACAGCAGGTCCCTTCAAAGACAGCTCAACGTGCGACAGGCATCCTCCCGCCCCTGGCGATCGACTCGCGACGACGTCCATCAGCGCCTTCCACGCCGGCTTCTCCAGGGTGATATCCTGCAAGACGAGTGTCTGCAATTGGGTGCATACGGGGTCCAGCCGATCTGGCGCGAGCCCCAGGATGAGGCCGTCCAGCATCTCGGTGTTTATCCCCTTGACGCGCAGCGTTTGCAGGACCGGCACCGCGGCGAACATCTCCGACCATCGCTCCCGCCCGCGTATAGTAAACCAGCCGTCTATGGTGACGGTCTCCACGAGTGACGCGTCGAACGGCCAGCGTACGAAGAAACGCTCGTCCGTCGTCCTCCAGTGGTGAGTGCTGACCTGCAGCGTTGCCGCGGCGCCATCGTCAGCATCGCCGGTGCGGTATGCACGCAACATGTTATCACGGTAGCTCGACGAGAGCTCGATGCGCCGCAGACCTTCCAGTGCCGCCCAGCGGAGCGGATCCGCCCACTCGCGTGCAGGGACGAGGTCCGAGAACGAGTCGTTATCCCCACGCCAGGAATATGGCCACGGGCGATCCCGGGTCCCGACCGCGATTTCCGTGTGTTGAGAGGGGAGGATGAGAGACGGGAGCAGCGCAGCGATGCCGCGTATGGGGTAGCTTTCCACGCGTAGGCTCTTGATGCGCGTGAGGGTCACTCTGCGTGCGTCGCGCGTGCCCCGTGGGTTGAACCAGCCGCTAATGGTCACCCGCTCCAGGAAGGGGCTGCGTCCGAGAAGACTGACGAGCGTGTAGACGTCGTGTAGCGCGCTGTCCAGGTTGATCTCCGTCAACGCATTGGGTCCTTTCGGGAGCCAAGGCAGGAATTCGCCGAAAAGCTTTAGGTATCGTAGCCGCGGCACACCATCAAATTCGGCGGGACGGCTCGCGGGGATATTGAATGTCTCGCGGGGCGGGAGCCGCTCGATGTCCACTTTTTCGAGCAGCGGCGCGCGGGTGCTCGCGATGCGCCTCATGACAAAGTCGAAAGCGTGCGACTGCGTAACGCTGGCCTTGAAGTGGTATGTACGGCCGTATTGCGTAAGGTACGCCTGGAAAACTTGATTGAACACATGTTTCGGATTTGCTAAAGCCTCCGGAGTAGTGTGGATGAAGCTGTGCAGAGGTAGATCCTGGGACCGCTTCAAGAAAGTCTTCACGGCGTCCAGATTGCTGACCGCGATGTGCGTCCAGAGAGTGGGCGTATGCAATGCAACGTCACGCCAGTACCGACAAACATGCGTGATTTCCACCAGCCTGGCATTTGCTTCGGGGGCGGTATCGACGGTATCGATCGTGTGCTCGAAGATGAGCTGCAGCAGCTCTGGCGGAAGGGTATTGGGGGATATAACGCGATCTGGGGTGATCTGGAGCTGCGAAACCTTTTCTGGAAGGATGCACTGTGCAGGGTCCACGTCTCTTTGTGCCGTTTCTTCGCAGCCGTGATGGGGCGTCGGAGAGGCCGTGCAAGCCAGATGCACACCTGCATGATTGCTTGGGGCCATTTGCCTGTCGATCTAAGCGAGCGTTCAAGACGGCATTGCGGCACTATTAAGCAGAAGATTCACTCGCCTGTCCGTTCCGATGAGATATAGACATGCTTCCTGTGCCGATGATGTGGTCGAAGGTGGCCTGTGTGTCGTGGTGGGAAGAAGAAGCTGACGAATGGCAGCGTTGCTGCAGCGTTCAAGCGCCCGGAATCTTTCGGGACGTGCCGATCTTGCATAGATCTTGCAGTGCGAACATAATATGGGCTCGAATATCTCAACGTCACCTTCCTTCAACCTAACTCAAGTGCTATTAGCTATACGGAGTCGATGGTAACTGAGGAGGTCCGGCGCACCGCTAAATACTTTAATAGTACTGTTAACGTGAAACGTGCGAACAATGAACCTCAGGCTACCGAAGCATATCCCATCGACATATATCATGACTCATTCGCGACGATACTGTGTATACATGACAAGAAATACGGAGAAGAACTTGTACTAGCCAACTACACCGACGCATGTGGCTACCGGCACTGGACTCGAAGTTGCGAGCGTCCCGACTACATCAGGGCGAAGCGTGAGTGAGCTTGAACGAGGCCTAGGGGGACCAGACCGTTCAGCATCGATCAGAAGCACCCGGAAAAAGAGCCAACACACGTACCCTTAAGCACCAATGAGGTTGAGTGCGTTCCTGGCCCGGGTAGTGAGGCCCGAGCGCGCGACCGTCTGCCTGTCGCTCTCCTTGTTCGCCCGAGGGTAGGTCTTGGGCTGCACCGTGCCCATCTCTGCGTCGCTCAGCGCCTTGTCCGTCACCAGGTAGTCCCCGCTCCAGATCTCCACAACGCACGTCTTGCGCGAGAGGCCGTCGCCGCTGACCGCGGCAACGTTCCGAGCCACGCTCGCCGAATCCATCACGAAGAACATCTCCGCCCGGAAGTTGTACACGCGCTGGTAGAGCATCATCTTCTTGCCTGGCGCGACCTCGACCGTGACCGGCTTCGTCTGCGTCGCCGTCGTCTCGTCCGCCGAGAACGTCTTGGTCTTGGAGCCGATCGTCATGGTGAAGTCCTTGAAGGAGGCGACGAGGGGCACGCCGCCGTTAGTCACCTCCGAGCCTTGGGTGACCTTGAGCTCGGTCGTGAACTGGTGCGTGTGCGACTGCGCGGAGCCGGTCGTGTTCTCCCAGGAGCCTTTCAGCTGCCAGGTCATGTCGGTGCAGTAGACGTCGGTGGCGGCCTGCAGCGCCTCGACTGCGTGATTGTAGTAGATCGCCAGGAACTTCGTGTTGACCAAGGCGTCGCCGCCGGCCGGCTTGACCACCACGGCCTGGGAGAATCCGGTGTTCTGATCATGCATATGTATCAGCATACCATCGAAGCTTGACGGGGGGCAATAGAATAATCCTTACTACGTTCATGATGGCTTGCGTGAGGGTCTCGAGAGCGGGTAGGCGTAAGAGTATCGATGGACGTGCTGCGACAGAGGAGGGGCTGTTGCTGCTGAGCGTCGGTGAGCCCGGGCGCGGTATTTAAACACATCCCGAGCGGGCCTGTCCCTTGCATGGTCAGTGCTCTCGGGACAATTGGTGCTTGCTCACCGTTCATTACGTCTGCTCAAAGCGGCATCTCATGAGCGGCGTCTGAGTGCTACCGAGCAGCCCAAGTCAGACGACGAGAGCGCACGAGAAACCAGGAGTCCAAATCCCGTCTACAAGCGGGGTGCTGGAGTCCAGGCAACGTGTACGTATTCGGGCGACGCTACATATGCTTCAGTGACATGTGCGGAGAAGGGAAGGTCACCGTGCGGGAGTCCATGAAAGGAGATTCGCTATATGCAGCGACGGGGTTCAGAGGATAAGGCGGCCATGCTTATTCTATGAGCAGGCCAGGTCGATTCGTGTAAAATTTGAGGCTTTCGTTTCCGCACAAAGATGGCGGCGGCGGCGGTTGCGTAATATGGAGCGAATACCGAGGGTCAGACGACGAGAGCGGAATGAGTGTCAGTTCCCTTAACGGCGAACGACCGGGAGGCATGGGCGGCGTCTTGGCAGGAATAGGCATATCGAGTGCGAAAGAGGGGGCTTCGGAGCAGTGCCACAAGCAGTCTGGTTGGGACTCCAGGAGCATGAGTTGTAGCTCGCTACCTGCAACCGCGGTATTTAGCAAATAGATCCGGGAGGAAACGAAACTACTCAACGAGCACCAACTCGAGCTTGCACGAGCATTTGCAATTGCCATTGCTGAGCTATAGAAGAGTCGATGCATCAGATATCATCCCGTCAGTGCAACGTGGAGAGCTGTGGAGGGTAGCTCAGAGTCTGCGGCATCCGCTACGTCCCGGCGAGCTCACGATCGTCACAGGAGTACAGCGTGGGGCCGTCGCATTCCATGGCAAGAGAGAAAGAGAAGGAAATACTTACCTCGGCGGACTGCGTAGACAAAGCATGAGTGACATTACGTCAGTACGTCGACTGGAAATTTGACGAGGCACGATGTCTCTGTCCTATAGCGTGCGGTGCCTCATCATGTTCGAACGTTACGTTGTAGACGTGTTGGGCTCAATATTGCAGCCTCATTCCCTGCATAGCACCAGGAGTTTAGCCGGGCCACTCGCCGCATCAAGTTGAGAAAGAAAGGGAAGTATACTGGCAGATCATCATAGCCCGACCATCACGCTCACGGAGAACATAGTCCCGAATCCAAGATGTATGGTAGGCAGTGTATGGTGGTGTAAGGTGACGGATGATGGTATGAGCAATGGTGGTGTAAGGTGACGGATGATGGTATGAGCAATGGTTGTACAGCATGTGCAGACGCGCAAAGACTAGATGAAGGTGAGGTGTGTGGGCAAAGCGTGCCGCGATCTTCCACGCGGATAGATAGATGTAGAGGCCGGGAAGGGAGCATTATGTACTGGGAAGTATGCGTACTCTGATGGAAACAAGGCCACCGCATTACCAGATGTACATTGCCACATTGCCACGCGGTTCAAAAAGGGACAAACGTTTGACAATGCATTTACGGCGCATGGCCGCACTGCCCGAGCGTCGGCGGACCGGCAGGTGCAGGCTGGGTCATCAACTATGGTGACGGTCAGCAACGCGTCAAATCTCTATGCTGCATGGGTGCAGTATTGCTTACCACGATGGTCTGGACGGTGGTGTAGGTGGCCGCGATTACGCCGAACACCATGAGCGCGATGTCCGCAATCTTCTGCTTCCGCGTATGCGCGCACGCCTTGTAGTGCAGCATCGCCGGGTAGACATAGCACAGCGGTACACTACACATCACACACATAGCTCGTCAGCATTCGAGTCTGATTTGTAAGGGAGAGTGTACACACCAGGCAAAGCTGCCGATGAACGAGACGAACTTGTCGAGATCGGCGGCACCGAAGTAGCTGAGCCCGGCGCAGAAGATCGCGACGAGTAGCCGGAAGAAGTTCTTCTGCCACTTAACGACGACGCTCTGCTTCCCGCTACGCTCGAATATGCCGTTCTCCATGATCCGGACGGCGGGGAAAAGCTGCAGCGGGACCGACAGCAGGATGGCAAGCGAGTACAAGAATTGCACCTGTAGACACAACATGTGAGTAAACTACCGGGACGTTAAATTTTATGGAAACACTTACGGCTTGGGTAAACTTGCTCGTCGTGTCGAGGTTGACGATGACGACGGTCTGAACGTTCGCACCAAACGTCAAGTACGACATGACGCCACCTCCGCAGAACAGGACTACACGGATGCAGAATCAGCGAAGATGCATGAGTTGTACGATGCCACGACTTACCCATCAAGAACAACATGACTCCCGTGAGCACCTTTGGGAACTTGCGAGGCTCTTTCATGGCGTCCGTAATGGGAATGACCAGACCGATACCCTCAAAAGAGAAGACGGCGGTTCTAAGCAATTGCATCAGTGTGTATCGTTCAAAAGGCGGCATGAGACGTACCCAATCAACAAGGGCCAGTCTTTCGAGTTGAACAACTCGACATGCGCATGACCGTTCTTGGCCATGATAACAGCCTCACTGCCGAAGATATAGATCAAGCCCGCAAGAATGAACGCATCGGCGACCAGAGCAGTCGTGCTGAGCTTCGCGAGGTTCCGGATGAGCGCTAGGGGCAAGAAGACGATCATCTGCAGGAGGATGAAGTACTGGATGCCGAGAAGTTTCGCGCAGTTCGTGATACCCAGGACGAAGGACTGTAGGTTCTCAGATACGAAGATGATGTATGCAGAGACGAAGCCAATTTGAGAGACGGTGATGGACGTGAGGATTGCATAGCGCATCCAAGGGCCGTATAATGCGCCACCAATATCTGCAAAAGGATCAGCGGTCGATACTTGCCCCATACCTTGAGTTGTACATACCGCCGAAACTGCCAGAGACTACGAACTTCGTCTTGACTAACAGAAGGAAGGAGTACAGCGAGATCAACGCGATGAAGGTCAGAATAGCGCTCGAGAACAGAATTCCGCCGTTATAGAATCTAAACAAAAGTCAGGAATATGCTCAAATCACTGGCGTCGCCGCCACTTACGCTTTGCCAAGGAACAAGATACCAGTCCCGACGAACGACTTTAACAGCTACAACGATGGTGAGCATTTGCCACATGTGGGACCTCTTGAATGCGTACCATGAGGACAGCATCAGTAACAGAAGCATCTCCATGCGGTCCCAGACTAGACATGCGTCTGCGCTGAGACTTGGAGCGGGTCCTACGATTATGCGGTCGTTGGAGCAGCGGGGACCGCTCGGTTGCCTTGTGACCGTCTGAAGACGGAATCGGAGCTTCTGTTAACAGCGGTGGCGTCTCGCCGATGCCATAGTCGGAAGCTCCCTCCAGATACTCAGGAGTCTGGACACGCGACTCTTCATCATCTACGAACTCTTCTTCCTCAATTTCCTCGAGGTCTTCACCAGCCTATGCGAACAGGTCCATGTAAGCAAGCGCGGGGTATCAAATGCAAGGCAGAGATACGCACAAAGTGGCCGAAGATGTACAGGAACTCGATAAAATTGCGAACCATGGGGCGCTGCACCGCGCCTTCGGGGTCGCGAAGCATCACATAGTTGCGGCGGAAGCCACCTGGCTCATGCAGGTGTTCGAAGGCGGGATGCGGAAGTTCCGTGCTGGTGGACCCGGCATATGAATTCGAACGCGGGCGCGCGGTTTGCCGCCTCTTATCTGCTTGCCACTTGTAGATGCTGTGACTGGGGACGAAGTTAGCACACGTTCACACCCCGTGTAGGCGCATACCCCGATAGGCCGAGCCGCAGTGTGCACTTTGTACTCACGTAACATCGGCCCCGGGGGCGTCGTAGGGCACAGGGAACGGGTCGGTGTCCTCCCTCTCGACATGGATATGAGAAGTGGAGGAACGGTTCGAGAGGATACCCGCGTGCCCAGTGTCCGATCCTCCACTAAATGAACCGCGTGCAGGGTGGTCGGGGGTAGCGGGCCTGTTGTTCTGCCGTTCCTCGCGCGACACCAAGTGCTTTCTCACGATTCTTGCCTTATCCTCGTCGGTCAGTTCATCCAGGAGGTTGTCGCCCTGGCCGCTCCCAGGCGTCCCTGAAGCGGGACGGCGGGCGATGAAGTCGCCTGCTGTAAGTCGAGGGCTCGAGGATGAAGCATCGCCTCCAGGTAATGGAATATATGACGAGCTCCCTGTTGCTCTAGGGGTACCTGACGGGGTGCCACCAGCGCGAGGAGGGATGTTGGCTGGAAGTGGAGTGCCGGCGTACTGTGCGCGCAGAAAGCGTGGACTAGGAGAGGCAGATATAGGCGTGCCAAAGTTCGGCGGAGTGCTCTCTGGGTTTGCCTGCTGCGCCTGTCGTGGACTGGGGATGTCGAAGGGCTTGGAAGGTGAGGACATCGTGGTCGGAGAACAAGTGCGATGAGCCTCCTCCGGGTGCATCGTACGTATCTGGGGTGCGCGCTTCTTATAGACGCCCGCTACCCGCCGGCAAAACGGGCAGGCGGTGACTCGGATCCGCGCTCCGACGCACGGTCTCCTCACCAACGCAGCCAACCCAACTCGTCCAGGTTCGTACTTTCCCCCAGTCCACCACGTCTCAGGACGCGCGAACGCATCGGTGAACAGCGATGCATGTGCACCACATAGAAATCACTGTTTTCACAGGAGGGAAATGCATGCTGATCTCGTCGTCAGCTTAGGAGGGATTCCTAGACACTCTTCGGGGCCAACCGTAAAGGCCGAGGGACTGCCTAGGGTTGTTCGATGACCAGGAGGGACGAAACTCTTCTCCTCAGGGGAGCATGGGAAAAGCCAACATAGCCTGTTCACCACCAAAGGAGGATTCCTTCATCAAAGGTACGATAACTGGAGAATTTGTCGAGGATGCGTTTGGTTTATCAAGTCTTTCCCAGCAGATTCCGGAGAACGAAAACAGTGTTTTCTATGCATTGTTATACACACATCTTGTTTTCATTTCGCGGGTCTTCAAATGTCGGCGGATGTTTGTGTTCCCGACTAGATTGAGTTGAACACGGATCAGCGCCAGCACCGAAGCTCGATCGGCCCCAATTGGCAGAGGTTGTCCCCGAGGCAGGTCACGCAAGTCCACTGCACAGGCGCGGCGCGGAAGCAGCGTTGCTGTACCGGGCTCTTCCCCCGTGTGGTGCGCGGCGAAGATGTTTAATCTCCTCGCCGCACCGCCGACACGAGCATGTCGCGTTTACATAAAGGTATGCATGCCCTCCCCGAGGGATGTCGCTACTGCTCTCCAGGGCCATTCCATCCCTCACCGTGCTCGGGCAAATAGCGCTGGACGCCATGGCCACTCTTTCTGACACCCGCTCGGCCTCTAGGATCAAGCGCAAACCGCCGCCGGCGTTCCCCTACTCGCCCAAGTACCCCCTTCCGGACCCCACCGATCCGTTCGCGCCCCTCCAAGTTTTACGAGAGCGCGCCCACTCGTCTCAGAAATATGGCGGTACCAACCCGTCCACTTCTACGCCGACTCACACGCCGCCTATGCCAGTGGACCATGTCCGTCTGAACCAGCACGCACTACCCGACCTCCCCTCGCTTCCCCGAACCGTTCTCCACGCGGCGAGGAGCATTGACGCACTCGACCAACTGCGAGACGGCTACCACTCTGATTTCTCCAGGCCACCGCGTCCACCACGTGCGCGGACCCGGCCCGCGAGGGATTCTACGTCTTATTTCTCGGACGCGGATATTGGCTCCTCGTCGCTTCCGACGCGCAGACCTCAGGAGCGGGATCAGGAAGCGTCAGAGAAGC